TTCTGTTTGTGGTGCGGAGATGCTCAGATGACATATACATGGCTTTACTTCTACATGACATGGACATTGGAAAATGCAGAGGGAAAATGACGATATGGGGTGATGGGGCTTGGTACAGCATGAGCATGTCTTGTGTACTGGAATGTTCTGTAGGATGTGACCTTGACAACGATATAGAGGGTTTGCTTTTTTTGTTTTCTGCTTTTCTGTTTTCTGGAAAGTACTAGGTACTAGGATATTTGCATAGCAGTGCAGTGCAGCGAAGTGGCTTGACAACTACGAGGTACGTGTGCATAAAAGGTCTCGCAAATGGCATGTCTAGATGTACGGACAAGAAATTTGTGGAAGAGCACAATCAAGATTTTCCTCTGAAGCAATGCTATTTCCTGGTTGGCGTCCAAGTCCCTCCAGATCGACGTATGCGAATGGAAGGAGGGGTAATGAGAGCGTCACCTTGAAGTAATGGCGAGTTTGAGATCTGTGGCGAGAGTCTGGAAGAATGCGAGAGGGGTTGGATGTGGATGGGGTGATTTGCTATGGTATGTTGATATGATACGAGGCGTAGTCTTGTACTTCGCTACTAGAATAACCAGCAGGGGGGGAACACGAGTACCATTGATAGGTGTCTAGACTTCTGAACATCTGCATTTTATGTACGTGGTAAATATCAAATCTCTCCTAGTATCAAATATGAACTCGAAGAATCAGAAGCTTCAATATCATAGGCCCGGTAAAACATAACCCCAATATCACCTCTAGTATATAGATTGAAGTAGATCGAGTAAATGGCATTAAACCCACAAATTTTGTATTCCCAATAACATGCCACAAACCTTGAGGCTTATTGTAAACCACTTCATTGAATTTGCACATGGAATTGCCGCCTATCTACTTTACTCTACAGTTCCAAACCGCACATAAAGCGCAGCACGAATTCACACGTTACAATGCATAAAACAAGCTCACTCAACTACCAACTCTTGACCAGTAACACAACGCCCATCTAATTTAATCTGCACAGGTGCAGGAAGACGCATGAAGAAACACAGAGTTCGCAAGTTTTACTACGGACAAGATTGATATGTGATGAAGTGTGGTGTATATGGTATTCGGAGTGTGGTGGGGAGATCGACTCGAAGAAGGGGAAGAGAAAAGCTTGAATATGTGATGAGTATGTGGAGAGGGGAATGGAGAGGGGAAAATAGCTCGGTGAAGAGATAATGAGGGGTAACGGTGAAATGTATAGTAATCATTCAATAATTGAAGGTTCTTGGAGCGTTGGCAGTGAGTGAAATATGGAGTGAGATGATGGTAAGAAAAAAGATGTTATTGGAGCGGGGATATGCATTCGGATCCGAAAGGGGAGAGTTTTGGTCGAAGGTAAAAGCCGTCTGAGAAGACGGGAAGACCACACATGCTTCTTGTACGATTCAAGTCGGGGGAGCCGATATCAGATCCGAGCTCAAATAATGCAGCGTCGTTGAGCCGCTATGAACCTGCTGATACAATGCATTGTGTTGTCTCATACTTCACAGCATCTGCATGGGGATCTTTCTCTGACTTTCGCCAACTTTGCTGCATATAGACGTTCTTACATATTCTGTGTTCCAAATGGCGTAGAGGCATCTGTTTGATGCTCACAATGGGATTGGATACCATACATGGCATTTGAAGTTTATCATCTTGCATCGGAAAGAGAATTATGACCAGATACACGACTCTCGGAATCTTAAAATACACTTGTGGATTTATGTCGGTATTCAATTCTCCAACTAACAGGCGAGTTTAATGAGCCGCATCATCAGGGCCGGTTAGCTTGTTCCTTTCGCCAACTGTGAGGCGTGTTAGTAAAGAAAATAGAAGCAATGGATTCATCGGAAGCAAGAGGATAGACGTTGAAAGGTGCATGAGGAGACCTACCATCAAGAGCTACCAGAAATCTGCTAACACAATTGTATGCTGCAATCTATATTTCAAAATTAGCTTTCGCTCTCAGCTTCAAGACGCTTCTGATCCCCCCGGTATCCACTCCGCCCTTTTTCACAATACTCCCAGCAATTCTCTCCTCGAGATTCTGTGTCATTTCTCAAGGAAAAGTCAACCTACTGTAGCCGTCAACTCTACAATTTCCTTTTGATCAAACCACTTTTTCAAATCTTCGAAAACCTCATCCGGTACCCTCACATTCCTAGTCATCTCATCCGTATACTTAATCACAGCCCACTGTTTCGCGCTCAGTCCCTCTGCATCTCCATTCGCATCACCATTTCCCTCCCTCTCACACTTTTCCCTCTTAAGTGTCTCCATGCCCTCATCACTAACTCCTCCTTTCTTCGCCAACGGCGCGTGATGTCCCCACTCATACCAAGCCGTGTTACAGATAGCCACCCTACAAATCGCTATCTCCCTGATATCATCTGCCAGGCTCGTTTGTGTCCTGACTGCTCCAAGGAATGAGTTCCAGCCATCTGCAACAGGGGGACTGTGCAGTAAGGTCAAGTCTAGTGGTTGAAGAGGTCGTGGTGCGCGACGCGCTTCAACACGTTCAATGATTGCGCGGTCAGAGGGAGAGGAGAAGGTTGGGGAAGAGGGGTCAGCGTATGGAAGACGCATTTTGGTGTGCGTGGTTTGATGAATGAGGTGGAGTTGTTTTTGTGTGGGAAGTCGATGGTATCGAAAAGCTGTTTGCTTGATAGTTTGAGAGAAAGAGACTGGAGAAATGGGAGATTTGGCATGAAACTTCATACCATTGAATCGAAACTTGGGAGGATTCAATACAACTACTTGTGGCTACAGACGTGTTATATATAAGTTGCACCTACATCACACTACCCCATAGATGTGGGGTTGAGCCGGCCGACATGGGAGAATACTTTCCCGGGAGTTTTAAAAGGCAAATGCGAACGGTACCTTGAAATCCAGAAATGGTATATTATATTATGTTCACGCCGACGACGTTACTATGAACAGTTTTATTTGACTGGGATGAGTGTACCAATTCCATGTCATCGGTAGGTATCTTGTAGTTTTATAGATCCGCCATTATGTGTATAATATTGTAACCTTACACTTTTGTACCTTCATTTCCTCTACCTTAACCAAAAATAACTCACACCCTTGGAATCTAAGTAATGTCTTTTCAAGGGATCTCATGTTTGTGACACATGGGTCGGGTTTATAGTGACTACAAGCTACAAACTAGGTTAAGTTTTCGTAGCGCTTAGATTGTTGGATCTCGCCCCCAAAACTCGGGCGTTGCATCAAAATACAGAATCTTTAGACATGCCACAACTTTCAAATACTCAACAGATTGCATACGTGAGGTTCTCTCTGTTGAAATGAAAACCCAATACCATATGATTGCTACCAACAATAAAAACTACTAGCATACACGGTCAATTTGACCCTCCTCCACCTCCATCTCTACTTCTAATGCACGTCGGAAACGCCGAAATTTGTGGAATAACAACAATACATATATTTTTAGCCATGAATTGTTCAATTCAAAGCTTCCATCCCGAATCCATCCTCGAAGGCCATCATTATAACCCATTCATATATTCACAGTTTGTTGCAGAAGAGAGGTGTGCGTTCAGATTGTCTCGAGGCTCTCTCTGTATGAAGTGATGCGTTTAGCATGAAACATCCAGAGATGCCTTGGAGTTCATGAGAAGAGCAACAATCAATCCGTAAAGACCTGTTATTTATATCAGTCACTGTTTAAATCAATAAAAGAACATATAATCTTACCCAAGACTTCAGCGAAAATCAAAATAAGAATCATTCCGACGAAAAGACGTGGTTGTTGTGCTGTTCCTCTCACACCTGCATCACCAACAATACCAATAGCGAAACCAGCAGCCAAACCAGCAAGACCAACACTGAGACCAGCACCAAGTTGAATGAAACCAGTATATAATGCGAGGTTTTGTTTGAGTCCATCGGAAATCAAGACTGAAACAACGAGACCGTAGATACCGATAATACCAGCCATAATAACGGGAACAATGTCTGTGTAACACATTAGTAGGACTCTCAAAAATCCGATGAACATGGCTCACTCTTGACAATCAAATCCGGTCGGAGAACACCCATTGCGCAAATACCAACACCAGACTTAGCAGTTCCGTAAGCAGCACCGAAACAGGTGAAGACGATGGCGGATGTGCACCCCATGGCGCCGAAGAATGGCTATGCATTGATTAGCATGATGCGTTGATACAGATAATGATTTCAAGTTGTTGGATATCGAATCATCGGTTGGTTGGAAAGCACATCGGAGGTGGCATTCGAGGGAAACTAACCGCGTAGACGGGACTATCATTATTGCTGTCAGTATTTGAATCAAGGCATGAAAATAATCGCGATCATATATATCAGTGCCAACTTTTAGAGATTCTTATCTCGAAAGCAAGGCAGGTAGGCAGGTAGTAGGAGCGGGAGGCGTCAAGGAGATAGTTTGTTGACATACCAGAGATCAGACATTTTGAAGGTATTAGAGAAGGTGTTGCTTGGATTTGAAAAGGTATATGAAGATTGAAGAAGCTTTTGAGGAATTGATTGAAGATTTGGGTTGATGAAAAGCTGAGCTTGGAGAGTTGATGGATAGATGATGATCAGTGATTCAAGGTGGTTTGTACGAGTTGTTTGATGAGGCTTCTCTGGCAAGCTTAGCTTTTCGACCAATCAAGTTATGGATTAGCGCGTAACGTAAGCGAAGCCTTTTCGAGGCACCCGATAAAGATTAATCTTCAGAAAAAAATGCCAGAAGATTTTCAACTTCATCACTACCATTTTTGCAAGTCAACCCACAGGGCGAGCCAACGCAAGGAACCCTGAAAGAGTATTTCTAAAGAAATCCTTATCATCTCAGTATATCCTCCAACAAATTGTACGTACTTCCGCCAGTCCAATTGGGTCGATCGCAAAGTCTTCAATTCGATGAGGTCAAGTTCTAACATTCTCTTCCACAGTATACTCAATTTCAAACCAAAATCACAATGGCTGAAGAACAAAACGAATCCGCTGCTTGGCCCGTCGGTAAGAATTACGCAGATACTCTACGACCTGCATTTTACTAACAGGTTACTTTTCAGCCGACAGCACTCTCTCCCAAGAGATCCTCGATCTCGTTCAACAAGCTCAACATTACCGTCAATTGAAGAAGGGTGCCAACGAGACCACCAAGACCCTCAACCGTGGTATTAGCGAAATTGTCATCCTCGCCGCCGATACTGCCCCATTGGCTATTCTCCTCCACCTTCCTCTTCTCTGCGAAGACAAGAACACCCCTTACGTCTACGTACCATCCAAGACTGCCTTGGGACGTGCATGCGGTGTTAGCAGAGCTGTCATCGCAGCAAGCATCACCACCAACGAGGCATCCGACTTGATGGGCCAAATCAGAAGCTTGAAGGATAAGGTCGAGAGACTCCAAATCTAAGCCCTGAATTGGATAGTACATTGACTGGCGCTACACCTTAACTGCGTGATGGCGACAGGCATTGGTTTAGGAAGGAAAAAATCTACGAGTTGAGGATAGGCAAGAAATTAAGCTTGTATACACAATTACAGGTTACAAATACAAATCCATGACTGGGAAACAGACTCAAACATGTGATGACTTTGACATTATTGGTTCTTTTTTTCGTTTCCATCATCGATTGTCAAATGAGGCATCGATGGATTCCTATAGCCCAATTCTCATTCTGACATATGCTCTAAAAGCCCTGAATACTCTTTGGACTTATTCCGAATGAAAACTCCGAAAGATTCGATCCGTCACAGATGTACAGGAGAACAGCTCGAAGGGTCATAACCAAGACTGAGGACATCGTAAGTCTAGAAGCCTACTAGGTATGCCAAGTCAGTTTCATCCATAAATGCGTAATATCTTTCCATTAATTAATCCCGATTCAATATCTCATGCAGATGCAACTCCGAAATCTCTACTTGAAACATTGATGACCATTCTCTAAAAACTTTCAGACTAACACCTTGGAGTCCATATTTGAGTTGAACTGGTAGCTAAATAGTGAATGACATCTCGTTGTAAGAATAGATAGATTTCATAGCTCCTGGGTTCTTTGATAGAAGTTAAAAGGTTTGAAATTGCGTGACTATGTATAATTTTGATACCTGAAAGTCTCGTAATCACTACGAGCATTCGATTGCATATTCAAGAAGTAGATTTGGTGAAGTATCTACCGCCTAAATGAGTTTAGAATCTTTCCAGCATCTAGGGTAGGTAGTCATATGATTGAGGTTGGGGTTCTGAGCAGATAGATAGCGCTTCCTTGATAGGAGGTTGTTGATTGTTTTTATATTGACTGTCATGCGGTTGTGGTCGATTCTTCGCCGGGTCAAGACTTGATTAACCTTTAGATTGATGGCATCTAGTCTAGTTGTACGAACTCAAAGTACTACGGCAGTGACGGCTATGAGTTTGTGATGCTTTTAGTACAATATACATGTGTACAGGAACAAGATATGTCATATTCGCACTAATTGTACTGAGAATACGATTGAAGACGGTCAAATTAGTAGTAGAGATTCTGTAATCATATCTCTAAATCTTCTATTGTGTATAATCCTCTACCTATGTTATGTAAATATGCTTGACGCTCCCTCTCTAACCAAACCCCGAATGTTACACAATGATATAATACAAATACACAAGCCCTCCTTACAACTTACTCCTGAATCTCTCCGTCTCGTCGCTCTTGACGATATTATCATTATCCGCATACGGATCAACGGTCAGCCCGTTCAACGGATTCAACTGACTAGCTCTATAGAACATATCCTCGTAAACCTTTCCATCCTTTCTACCCAGCGAAGAATCAAGTTGCCAATCGGGGAATGCCCATGCATCAACTAGACGTAATGCATGTGGTCTAATCTCTCCCAATAACTTCATGACGCTCTTGGTTCGTGCTAATTGGATTTGTCGCACGGTGACAGCAGACGAGGAATAGAATTCCGATGCCTCTTTCTCAAGAGTGTTCAGAGCATAGAGACGGTAGAGTTTGTGGAGGACATCAATGGTCTCGGGATCAAGCTCGTATCGAAGAGACTCGCTTTGAAGAGCGTCGTAGAAGTTTTTGACAACGAGGTATTGAGAGTGTGCAGTGCTGAGGCGCCAGAAATCAACAAGAAGAGAGTTCCATGATCCCTTTTCCGCGTCACGATGCTTCAGGGCTTCAAAGGTCAAGAATGATGTTCTCCATGCAAAAGCAGCGACAATGTCACTGTCTGAGCCGAGAACATCGTGAGCAGCACCCATATCTTGCTTTTGAAGGAAGGTTGTGAATATTTTAGTTGTGTCGTTGTTGGGGGCATTTCCCTTCAACACGGCGCGAGCAGATTTGAGAAGGTATCGAGCTACTTGCTGCGTGAGCATGTAGTTGTCTCCTTCCCAAGTGGTTGTTGGAAGGTAATCAGCATACCAACTTCCGATACCACTGAAGCTTGAGTATCCATGACCACCGCAGGCTCTACGGCAGACCTCGAGACCTTCTGCGGCTGTAGTACTGCCAAGAGCTTTGAGACCACACGATGTAGCATGTAGATCTGCCAATAAATCGCTCCCCGAGTTGAGTTCCTCTGGACCGGCGCCCCTGCTACTATCAGAATCATTGGTAGCATTTTGTTGCATTCGCTTCTGATTATCTTGGTACAGCCCCATCATGGCCTTTCCAGTAAAGTGCAGAGCAAATGTGGCTGCAAGCAATGGCAATAATCGATATTGTACCATTGTGTAGTTAAGAACCTGGTTCTCCCCAGATTCATCAGCTCCAGCATCTCTATCTTGAAATTGCCGTCTGACAGAGGCATATCTTGTTGCGATGGTCACACCCCGAGCTAAAACACCACCCGATTGGAGGACGATGGTTGATCGGACCCAAGTCAAAGTGCCGTAAATCAAAGATGGTGAAGATGGCTTGACGTATTTGTTTGTTTCAGGGTCGACACTGGAGAATTTGGCCAACATGTTAATATGTGGGATCTTGACTTGGTTCAATAACAGGAATCCGTTGTCCATTGTATTGTAGCCAAATTTAGGCCCAATATCTCCCACATAAACACCATCTAATGGCTCATGGGTTTTCATGTCTCTAATCTGGCATACGAAAGGATGTGGGCCGTATGGCTTTCCAGCAATAATCAGTTGTGCCATAACCACAGCATGATTCGCAGTCCTTCCTAAAGACCCGATCCACCATTTTGACGCAGTGAGATGTGGCGAGTGAAGAATGAATGTCTTGTCTTCGGGATTCCAGGTAGCAGTTGTCTCTAAGCCTCGCACATTCGATCCATGTCCCAATTCGGTTTGTGCATAGCATCCAATTGCCTTGTAGTTTTCGGCGGGTTCGAGGAATAATTTGTGTTGTTCAGGTGTGCCTTGGCCACGCAGGGTGGTGAGGTACATCGAAGCATGAAGCCCGTCTAAACTTGATGTTAGTATTCTTTTTGAAAGGTGTTGAAGGTTTTGGGAGTTACATACAAGGAGTCGGCTCGCTAATGAGCTCATTTGCCACCTGATACTCCTCTTGATTCCAGTTATGCTTGACTTGTAGTTGACGAAGTCTCTTCGCCCTTGCGAGAGAAGTCTTGAATCTATCTACTCGACCATCGAAATAGTTATTTGATTTGTCGAATATCTTGTCGGCTTGCAAGATCTTTAATATACGTTCTTGACGCTCTAATACCTCTTTGGTGAATAAAAAGTTCGAGAGCTTTTCGACATGTATATTAGACTTCTCTCTTTCCACCTTGATAAGCTCAGTGCCTTGCGGACCGGATGGCTTCAGATCTTTGACCCATTGTGGAGGTGACATTTTGAATGATTGATATAGAGAAAGATGGTTATGATGGTGGGAATCAAAAGTTATAAGAGATCCTTTTGTTCAATGAAATCGGCCCTCGGTCAACAATAGTTTCGAAGGCGTTTGGCACATGCGCCGGTATTGATGAGTAGAGTTTGGAGCTTCCTTGACAATGGGACCCGGATGCCGAGGTACAAATGCGGGCTTTTGATTGGTAAGAGTCTGTGGAGCAAATAGGGGTAAAATGGGGTTCTCCATTTTGATCTCCATACTTTGAAAGACAAAAATATGTGAACGTTAGATTATTTGGAAGGGAAACGGATTATTATATCTTCATCATTATGTAGCGACGTCCTCTGGGAGGTACTTAAGACATAGACGGCTAAAACACACCGTTACACTCGAACAGGGCTATTGTTGGAAATGCTATCATCCTATTCGTTACAATTTTCATCCTTGTCTGTTTATACATCTTAAAATCAACCACACACATCTAGTTGAGAAGATCATCAGAATAGATCAAGAGTTTTATGAATATATAAAGCAAGCTGTTTGACGTTGGTGTTGAAGTTGCAATCTCCTAATATGTTGGCACGCAATGGACGACATAAGTTGCACATCAAGCTACGAAAATGTCTAATATATAAGTCTCCAAGCTATTTTCAACATTCCAATTCAGATTTGACATTCAAATAGCGAGACGAGTATATATAAAGGATACCGATGACTAGATGCTTGGTGTCCCCTTTTGGTGTGTAGTTTATTTTATCCACGTGAAAATTAATACCGGGAGACTTCTTAAGATGAGGTAAATCTTGAATAGCCAAAGAGGAATAGCCGCCATCTCCTACCTACTGCCTCGAAGCCGATATTGCAACATCTCTCGGATTCATTGTTCGTTGTGATAGAGTTGCCGGTGGATCGGTGAATTCGCAAAATATTTTCAGAAGCCGTCAACAGGTTGGAAAGTCGTGCCATCGTTCCTTCTGTTTTGAGGGCATACCTTCCATTTCTTGTTGCTTGTGTAGGCAGCTTTAGACATTTCATTATATCAACTTCGAGATGTCCCAACATCATGTTCATCATTTCACCCTGAATCATATCTCCGTCTATTCTCATATCCAAATGTCACCTCAATTTCTATTACACCGCTGGATTCAACCTACATTTGCTTTGATGCTCTTATTTCAAGTTATTCGTGTATATTTAAATTACTATCGCCTCGATGCCAACACTTCCGCAGGAACCGCAGCAAGCACACCTGAATCTCAACCAGGATCCATTGTCATTGGAGCCGGTAGAATCTCAGTTGACCTCTGATCCAAATGAACCCAGGCCTTGCACACGGAAGCTGGCCTCAAGGTATTGCATAGAGGCGTGCATAGAGTCTTTAAGCTGGCGTGGATGGCTCTGTTACCTTGCTTGTCTGCTAGTTATCATTATGATAATTGGAATTGTCTGCAGCGCCCATGTATACTATCATGATATGGGAGGGCAAGGTTGGCTCAAATTGAAGCGGAGAAGTCAAGAACGATTTGGCCAAGTACAGAGCTTTTCGGAAGTCTGTCTGCCATCAAGACAGTTGGAACGCTACAATCCGATGTTCGCGTTGAGTCCAAGAATGCCAGCCACTGTACCTTGGTACACCTGCGGGGATCAGCAAAACAGTTGTGAAGCATACGCTCATCCAGTGAGTTTTTGTTCGAAATAGAATTCTCTTTCTTTGCTGACCACGTCTTCTCTGCTACAGGAGATTTGCTGTCCTCAAGGCATGATCTGTCGACCTACAACTCACACGACTTCAGGTATATACTGTTGCAATGGAACGTTATCACATTCCAATTGCCGTCTCTTAAGAGCGCATGCAAGATGTAGGCCCAATTACTTTGAATGCCCAGAAGACATGGGAGGAGGTTGTTGCCCTAATTCGACAACTTGCTACAGAGATCAATGTATTCCGGTGTTCAAACAACCATCCCCCGTTCGGCCGTCAAATGGACCAACAGTGACACCCTGGCCAGCTGGTCCAGTACCAAGAGAAGGGGAAATAGCGCAAGGATCACGTCTGATCATATCGTCATTTTGGCGTGCTGATTACCCTTTTTTGGCGTTGGGTTTCTTAGTCTTTATTGGTGTCATGATGGGGATGCTCTGATAGTAGTTTGAATACATTGTCACGCATAGAACTATTGATGGCGCCAGCGGAATGGTATAGCTTAACAACCAGTAGTTGGCGAATCAAAATGAAGAGATATTACTGTTCCGCGAATTCAATGAACGGCAGTTGATGTGTGGAATTACTGACAGAGCTAGTCGTAAAATTTGAGACATTGATTAATCATCTTTTGTAATTAATTAACCGACACTTGACTTTTCTCATAATTTCAGGAGTCTGTTTTTTAGCCGTTCGAGAAGGACAGACCACAACGATCTGTCTTCGAATCTCGTTGGATCGGAGATTTCCTTGATATACCATGTACATAGCCACTTCCGGACCATTCGAGGCCGATGAATCCATCCCAATCTGCATGGTTCGCGGCGACGTGGGGCTTTGTGTGCATTGATGCAACGATATTCCCTCATCTGTATTTTCCCACTTAACCACCCAAAAAATATTAGACGAGGCACAAAAAGCCTCAATCTGTCAATCAAGGAAATTATACACTGCCAAGGCGTCTCAGAAATGTATAAACCGCCGTCGACTATCGACCTGAAATGCTGGACAGCGCTTTCTCCGATGGCAAAAAGAGCCTCAACTTCATAGCCACATCTCTACCTTCCGTTCAAGCATTTTGATCACCGTCACATTGACATCCTCCATTGGCTTTGGATGATCACCGTCGTGGAAAAATGAGGGTCTTGCGATATTAAGTTATGGCGATCACTTCGATGTCGATGCTGTGTTCGTTTATCTAAACATCTCAAGGTTGTTCCCGATCTAGGTGGATATCGAGCGGCACAATTGTACAATTTGTTATACTTTTGGCTTTCTGCTTCTCTATTGACGTGATCTTTTCGCCAATCACTGTTCAAAGTCTTTTCAATTCATGATATTGTGGCAACCCACCAAAATACTGATAGCCGACGGATGACCTGGAGAGTGGAATGGATGAGTAAAAGAGCTAGAACTTTTTCATAGGAGTCTAGAAGTACTTTGAGCTGTTTTCTGGACGCCATCATAACAGTGGCTACAGGGCGTTTTTTACTGCATCAATTGAAAAGACTTGCGACGAAGTCAGGGACAAGAATTCCTCTTTTGGCTTTTGACTTTTCGGATTTACACATTTCTGAGACTAACAATTCATAGATCAATTTCCACGAGTCAACCGGGGTGTGCTACCAGTGTGCACGGCTTTCACCCCATATGCAGTGCGACTCGGCCGTGGGATTTTTCGGGCTCGGACGTCATATGAATGGCAAAAAAGAGCCACACATCTTCTTCGATTGCTGTCTGTCGAGCCCTGGGATCTACGAAGAACTGTTCATCAAGAAGATCATCTAGATTCGGCTGAGCCAGGAGCCCTTGCCAATATTACCATGTCACTCATTTTATACTCCCCCTCGCTTCATCCCGCGGAAAAGATTTTATAAGGGTCGTACTAAGATATATCCACTATAAAACTGGTATTGGTAACCTTTAGCAGCTTTCGCGGTGCGCTTTGTTGGGCCAAGACACCATACTATGAGAAACTAATCAAGCCTGATATTGACTCGCCCCCCATAGGGCAGGAGACTTCGAAAGAAAACCCAGGTACCGGTAAACTAGAGCGATTACCTTGACTATCTTGAGAAGCACTCGGATATTATGACTGGCTTCTTCTGCACTGAAGCTAGGGGCAGCAGTTGCCAATATGCATATAACAAATAGCACCTCCACCTCCACATGGCAATATGCAGTGTCTAACGTGGGTGCCATCTTTACTTCTTTCTACATTCACTTGGTCCGCCCCCTCATACATATCTCAATTCAAAAGAATAAGTTACTTTTATATCTCATCTCCTAAAACGCGAGCTATCTTACCAAAAAGGTAGACGCTTCTAACCATGTCTCTCCTATTTTATAAAAGACCAGATTATACCAACAAGGTAAATGGTCCTTTAAATGCTACGGAATGTCAGCGATATGCTGCAAGAGCGAAAAGTGGGTTATACCTGTCTCATCCAGGTTGATTTGACTAACACTCACCAGATTCTGAACGTTCAATTCCACCTGGGCTACGGTTTGAAGACGTGATTGAAAATCAATCTCTTCCAGTAAGTTTGAAGTCTCCATTGAACAATAAGTCTTTTACTCATATTCATTTTAGCCATGCTCTCTGAGTGACTTCATGGACTTCCTTGTTTATATTGAGCACGACGCAGAGAATCTTCAATTTTACCTGTGGTACAAAGACTATGCTCGTCGATTCGAGGCTCTCTCAGATTATGAAAAGAAGCTGTCTCCAGAATGGGTACCGGAAACAAATGAGCCCTCTGCTCTTGCCAAGGACGCAGAAAAGAATGAAGGCAGGAGAAGAAACCCACCAATGGATATTTCGGACTTCAACGATATGGCCGACTTCGATGCGGATGTTAAGTCTAAGGATGGCCAGTCTCGTACCAATTTATCGAGGGCCGATAGCGCTCTGGGTAGCCCAACAGCTCCTTCAGTTTTATCAAGCAGTACGGGAGGACGCTCGGGAGAAAAACCGAGTCAACCAGGTCTCAAGTGGCAACCTTGTATGTTCAGAATTTCTTGAACAATAAGATTAGTATTAACTTCATTTAGTCACCGTTCAACCTATGCGAGAAGAGGTCAACCGTATAATGCGACACTATCTTGCTTTCAATTCTGCTCGAGAACTTAACCTATCTCACAAAGACCGCGCTTTATGCCTACACGCCCTTCAACACACCACCCATCCATCCGCCTTCCTACCAGCTGTGACCATAACTGAAGCTGCACTTCGAGGCCAATCACATCCGAATTTTATTAGATGGTCTATATGCAACGGCAATAAACCTCGCGTCTTCTTCGTCCGCACCATGGGTGTCAGTAATACAATATTTGGGTTTGTGATAGCGATTCTATTGACGTTATCGAGCGTTAGTCGGTGGTGGAGAATCTTTGCGGGCCTGCAATGGTTTCTAGGAATAAGTTGCTTAATAGCAGCCTACAAAGGTCTTTGCTTGATCATGCACCAATCGCACAACCGTAACCTACGGCCCTGGGAACAAATTCTACAACAAGAAGCCGCTGATGAGGAAAGTGGACGGCACTCTTTTGAGAGTTCATCGAAACGACGCTTCAAAATGACGACTCGCACAGGCGACGATCATGATAAGCAGAGCGATGGGGTCACAATTTCTGAAACTTCGACTATGTCGAGTTTTGGCCCGAAGAACGATGTGCAGGAATTTGAGGAAAAATGGAACAAAATATACAAAAAGAAGAACTTGGCGAGGAAGATATTCGATAAGACTACTTGGACTCAAGATGAAAACTTGAGGTTCTTACAAGACAAGATTGTGATTGGGGCTTTCGCTTGGAGTTTGATTATCACGGCGCCGTTAACGATTATATTTGTCGCTTTGCCAAAAGGAAAGTTTTATTAGATTTTGCGGAGATCTGAAAGGTACTAGGTACCCTTGCATTTAGTTCAGGATCAGATGCTTTTGTATATGTTTGGATCGGTTAAAATTTTTCGGTACACTGAGATGATTTTCTTCTACAGATAAACTTGGTTATACCGGACTGAAATTTTCGACCAATCAAATCCGGTATATCCATGATTCCGGTATAAAAAATGGTGGTCCAAGCTTCATAACCAAAATTTATATCCGATTTCAGCTCCAAACCCCGATATTTTCGAAAAATATCATGTGATTATAGCCAATCAAGCTTACTCATCCAAAATTCAGCTTATTCAGCCAAATCACCCACCAAAATTTATACCGGATTCGTGAAAAAAGTGTCCGGTATACCGGTTTTGCCCAAAAATCCGGTATTCCCATATAAAAAGTGATCAAATCAGGAAATTATTCCGGTATATCCAAGATTCCGGTATATCCCAGTCCGGTATAGCCAAGTTTTTCTGTATACTTCATTGGGACCAGGCGGGAACTCTGACATTCCTAACCCCCCAAGCGGGGTTTCTTGTAAATATATTAAGCGATTCATTACTTCATCTTCCCAAAAGCAATATGACTGCAATTTGATGATTCCACAATGGACAACCGTGATTGTGATTGTGATTTTGAGAAATACAAATAATAATTTAGGTTTTTCCCAAACACGGGGAATCCCCAGTGGAGATTTTAGCTCCCGGTGAACTTTGCCTTGGCGTGCAGTATTTGGAAGATTGTGGTCTGTGCTTTTCAAACCTTGGGGAACTCGCGGGTGACACGAAAAGTGGCACACACAATATAATTAGAATATAAACTCTATTCAACTCACTCTTTTCAAAAATTAATAATAAAACAAATTAATTATAAAATAACTCCAAATTTCTATATGTTATTAAATATCAATGAATAACAATATATTAGCTAATTGTATTATATAACAAAATCTCGATTAAAAGATATTATAGATTAAAAGTAACTTATCTTTTAAAAGTTATAAGATTATATATCTATTTTAAAAATTAAAATAAATTTTTAGATAATAATATTAAAGCTTGAAAATATATTTAAATATCGAAATATTATTTTAAAAGTATTAGTATCTTAATATCATTTGAAATAATTTATTAATATAATTATGAAGTTGTTGAGTTTATTGATAATATTAGATTTTGGTGGGGATTTCTCACCAAAATTCTTTCAAATTATCAATTTTCTAATATATACCAATCACTCAATTCAAAGTTATAATAATTAAATCTTATACATATTATAAATTACTTTTTAATCTTTCAAATACAGTTTTTTTAAGTATTTTAAACAAAGAATTGAGTTAATTATAATTAGTTGAAGTTTCTAAATATTTTAAATTCTAAGCACAAATTATGTTTAAATTCAAAATAAGCCTAATATTCAATAGATTATAACTTTTGTTATAATAATCTCAAGATAATAAGAATTGTATCATTAAAAAGCTTATATTCGAAATATTTTGTGATATTTATTTTAAAATTTTATATTGATACATAATGGAGCTAGCTAGGGGCTAAACATATAGTCTAAAATCCCACCAAAATTTTGGTGGGGAAATATATTGTGTGTGCCACTTTTCGTGTCACCCGCGAGGGGAAGAACTATCGTAGAAGATTTGATTTTGCCTCCCGAGGTCTTACATTCAACATCCGATAGGATATTTGTTTCAGCAAGATGCGGATTTAGTAAACAAGTTTCTGCAAGTGCATTGAGTCGCGTGTTACTAAGCTGCGAATTGGGGGTGGGCTGTGTGGCAGTTACGCTCGTGAGGATGTTTTATGTGCTTGGTTGTATCTATCTACCGGTACTATTTTGCATCGGACTGCTATTTTGCCAATGCAAAATCTCACTACATGATGCATTCAGCCAAGCACAATGTCTCGGGGGCTCCTGTACATTTTCAATATAAGAATAGCGAGCCAAGTTCCACTGCTCGGTCGCCGAATTGGAAGTCTGCGGCTTTCAAGTCATCTTAAACCAAGTGGTCCGATAGAATTGACTCGATATTTGATTCGCAATGTCGATCTCCCCGGTTCTCAGGGATTACTTTGGTATGATGCAATCAAGAATGCGCAGCTCTGCAGCAGCAGCACACTTGCGAAGGCACTGAAAATGATAATTGGGTTATGTTGCCACCAACCAAATCAATTTACCATACAAGTGAAAGGCCAGGAGCGAGAGCGGTATTATATGTTATGTAATATTGCTTACTCCGTAGACTTGGTTCCGCCTTGATTGGGGTGGCTTGTCCTTCAAAATGCTTTTTGGGGTTTATATATTGGCTACAATCACAAAGATAATTCCTGCGTCAGTTATTGAGATTTGCCAGGGGTGTTGAGGGCCACAGAGGTGAAATCTTTCAAGTAGGCCCGTCTTCCAGTTCCTTTAATTCTTTCTCAAATTTGTTTTGAACTCGTTTGGAAATGAGCGGTTCAACCGTGTTTCCAGCTGTGTGTTACAGTGTTTGTAGTATGAGGATTATTTTCCTTATAATCATGTGATGCTAATTCACTCATCCAGACAATGTATACGTCGAGGCGTTGAAAATTGGCAAGTCACCAGAATTGTGCTCAAATTCATTATTCAACAACCAGTACAGTTCTTGCCAGAAGTGCGTTGCAGCAAATAGCTCAGATCCAGCTGCGGCGAACGAAAATTATTTGAAATCTTCATTTGAAGAGTTTTTTGAATATTGTGCGTCACCAAATGCATCCTCGATAGCGTCGAGTGAAGTAGAGGATACGACAGTTGCAACAACGTTGAGTGTCGCCTCCTCACTCCTTTCCTCGCTCCCAAATTTCACGACTACCTTTTTTAGTTCTACCTCCACTCCCTCGGGGTCACCATATACAACCATCACAGCAACCAATACCCAAGGTATCTCATTATTCAACGGAAGCACAATTACCATCACATTTTCTAATGTGATAACATTATGGAGCCAAACAAGTTCCAGTAAGATAATACTGAACATTTGAAATGCAGCCCTTCTAACTTTATATCGTTTAGCTTCGTTCCCTTCCCCAACAAATTTACAATCTACATTAACACCTGGTCATGCGCGGTTTCATGGTGTAGTTTTTGGCTCCATTTTTGGCGGACTGGCAATTATTGCTTTCGGTGGCATCTACTGGAAATTCTTGAGACACCGGCATTTGAGAAAATTGAGAGTTGGAGGTGGAGCTGGTGATGAAAATGACCATGAGAAAGCGCAATTGCATTCCGATTGTATCCCTCCCAAGAATCCAGAAGAAATTGATGGGTCACCAAAAGGCCCAGTCGCAGAATTGCCAGCTATAGAAGCTGTTGTAGAGATGCCAGGGAGTGTCAAAAACTTGCCCAGAGAGGTTGGGTGACTTCGGGTGGTTCTGTAATAAATTTTGTTTTGGAGCCTATTGTAATACATAAGTTCATGGCGCATCAGTTTACCCCAAGTCATTCAAAAGTGGATTCTGAATTACCGAATAGCTCGTTTCCATCGACGTCAGATTTATGGGCAATGAATCTAACTCGTGGTACTCCGTGGCCTCAAGCTCATACATCTCTTGCCATGGGTCTGATAATTCAACCGGTCGCTCCACGGTCATGAGTTCGGGCATATTTTCAATCCTGGTACGATAACTAGATAGAATATTGAATGACATCGGTTTCGTGGGTTCGAAAACGAAAACCGATCTCATACAATTTTTGACAGATATTATAATGCAGATAGCTAACAGAATTGCAAATATTATGGAAGGTGCGACGAAGATAGACGAAGAGCCATGTTTCGAGCCAACATTTTCCGAGACTGGTGCATATTTAGTCCTGGGGCTGAAATCAAGACATGCAAGACTCCCCCCAGGAGTATCGATGGATCCAAGCTCTGATGGTATGTGACTACAATTCCAAGTACCATTTTTCATCGCGCCAAGAAGCGAAGGAGACAAAGTCTTCAAGGAAGGCAATGGTATTCTGTTGAAATTAGTACAGTGACGACTATGTAATTTCCCACGGGTAATACTATAGGATCGATCAAAACATACTTTGTGAAAGTGCCATTTATCACAGCCAGTCGACCACGAATTTCCGCCAAACTCGTTAAATCGACATGTGTCAAGTCTTTGCTACCCGAGATCTCTAGATCTTTATCGACACGTGTCAAGACTGGCATAGAAATATTCTGCAAGTTTCTGTTTCCTGCGATTTTAAGCGATGAATTGCCAACAGGTGTGTCGCTGCTGTTGTAAAAACTCTCGCTATGCTCCAATAATGCAATACGTTGCAGAAGTGGTAAGGATACTGACCGCAAATTTTCGTTGCTAGTAATCTCGAAATTTTCCTGGACATACTCAAGTTTTGGTGCCAAATATGACGAGAAGTAGTTAGCTGCCAAAATCAAGCTTTGGCAAAATTCCAAAACTGGCATGTGTACTTCAGTAGCTCCGTATATCTCTCCATTAAAAAAAGTTTTAGCAGAAGAGTAGACTTTCAATGAAGGATCGGAAGGTGGAGCTTGAATGTGAAAATAGCTTGCATTGGATAAATCAATCAGCTTGAGGCCCGGGTTGTCGATTGCTTGAAGGGAGTGAACAGCGCCCATGTTTGGCAGAAAACCTGACGCAAATGGCACATTTTCGATATTAGCGTTTTCCACCACAACATTTTCTGAAAATTCGATCTTCAGAGGAGAGGATATGTTTTTGAGGTTCAACGTGTGCATAGCCTTTAGCCGAGGAAAGCTCCAGGAGTTCGGTATATCGTCATTAGCAATCGTCAAGTCGTGTGCTATAAACCGAAGCGTCGAAGAGGAAACGCTCCGGAAAGGGGGCCCCCAATAACCAGATACAATTGCTCCAGCCACCTGAAGGCCTTCTAACAATATATGTTCGTTTTTGTCAGTATCGGCCAAAAATATACGGCCAGGAAAGTATTTGCATGCCGAAACTATGGATGCTTCAGCTTGATCCGCGTCGTTGAAAAAAGATCGAGAACATATGCTGCCATCCTTGGGTTCTGCAAGACAAGTCACCATTTCAGTCAGCATGAACTGTGTCGTTTGTTTGGGATTTACGTACGATAAAAATTCCACATGCCGTAAGAGCTCTCTCAGGAGATCACCAGTGGTTACACAGACTCACGGGATAATGTGACAGGAAAGCACAATTTTATACCAAAAAGAGTGATTTTAATAATTCATTTAAAATTCAAAAAATAACTGAATTCTTTTGAAATTATAATATATAATTTTTCAAATATTAAAAACTAGTTTATTAAAGATTTATTCTAAAAAAAGTGAAATTTGAGTTCAAAAATTCAATAGTGTGTTTTCTTATTAAATTTTTTAATAAGAGATTATATATTTTATTATCAAGATTTCAATTTGGATTGTTTTAATTTAAAATTTATATAATATAAAATCTTTATGCTTAGAAACTATATATTTCAATTTCAATCAAATTAAACAACAATTCCAATTTTAATTGAATTATTAAAATCACTATTTTTAATGTGCAATTGTGCTTTCCCTCTTGGGTGTTCTGTGAGTCCGTGCACCCACTGGTGGACCACCAAATGCAAGGAGAAATCAATTGATGCGAAACAATAATTTCAAACAATGGCAATACTAGTACCACAACTAAGTAATTGAAAAAAACACTTATACTAAAAAAGCAATCGATATGGGCATTGCTGATAGCTTACATTGTTGGGGGCTATTATTACTTACTATCTTCGCCGCAGTCATTTAAAGCATACATTTCTAGGTGCAGAATTTCTACATAATTCTCCTATGGCTGAGCATATCAGGCTTACATGGAGATGGGCTTTGCCAACTACTTCAGTCTTCTCGCCTTCTATGGTTACTGGCTGATTAACAGTTCAACCATTAATTGATATTTGCATCAAGTCATAGAGATTTTTAGGGTTATCTATATGGAATTCTATATGGAATATTAGAACTTTCATTTTGAAGTAAACTTGGGAATGCTACCTTCAAAATATACAATAATGCGGCAATACACTTCTGAAGATCACGGTGTTATATTGAGTAACGCCAAGACACTGACGTAAACGAACTCAGGTAACCAAATGGAAAATGCCCCCTTGTGAAAATCACCTCTCTGCGTAGAAGAGGTCACACTGCTCATATTGACAAGAAAAAAGAGAACAAGAGATCGATATAATGGATTCACTGCGAAACGCCATGAGATTCATTGTCCTAGACGCAGTCTCTGATTGACACCGCTCATCAACTATCAAGCATATGCTAGATGCTAGAAAGCGCTCGGTGTCTGAGATTGGGTTGCCATCGTCGATTTACGTAGGTCTGTTAACATACTTGAGATATCTGTGGTATTGTGGATGCCGAATGAGAAGTAACTGTGCTCGGCTGGAGAAATTCGAGAAATTATGTTATTTAACTCGGATCTGATCGCATTGTTATCAAAGGAACTACTACGCTTGAAAACAGGAACTGGAAAGTTTTGCATTCATGCCAACTGATAGAATATCGAAGCGCCAGACTATCCATGCTTTGAACGAACATCTGATCATGAAAGTTATGATCACGAACGAAAGCCATTAGAACTTTATCTGGCAACATTATATGAGTCTGAAACAGGCGACAAGAGGTTCATAGAGGTCTCTTTAATGGAAATGAACTGTACAAAATAAACAACTACTATGTATGACACACAAGACATGTCTTCGGTGTAAAAGATTGTATAAGAGTAAGTAATCAAGTCATCATATGAGACTACTCACATTATGATAGATTTTTCGCCGTCACACAGCAGCCAACCTAACTATGCGTCACGTAGACGCTGTAGCACATAAACTGTGTGAAAAACACAAGTAAATTAGAGAGAATGAATGAAAAAAGTGAAAAGGAGGCTCAGCCCACGCCGCTGCCATCAGGACCAAAATTTCCAAATTGTTATTCCCCGCCAACCTTGTCCGTCAAACCCGCATACATCATCTGAGAATGTGACCAACAACGCCCTGCTTTGCAGCTTGCGCACCCACACCTCATATTTTCCTTGTAACTTGCGAAATTTTGCTACTGAAGAAGCGGCTTGAAAGTTAAACACTTGGGACTAGGATTGACAGAATGCTAAGCTACCAATGCAGTACTGTGAACGAACATGCAGAATGCCCCTCGTATTGTGGATCTTAATTTTTTGAGCCGGATTTCGTTCCGGGAGTTGAGCTTGAGTGGGGCTCTGTCTTTCCTCAAACACCTACCCAATGGCTTCTTTATCGAGGTCAAGTATCTAATCACGTGAACTACACGTGATTGGTTGCAGCCAACGAGATTGGCTAAGCAATTACGTACAACATGCAAATGCATCTTGTACGCACAAAATCAAATAGACAGAACGGACTCTGAGTGGATCAATCATTGCTGCGAGTAATACTTCTTGATCCACTTGCACTTTATATACCCGCCGACACTAGGGCTGATATGGAGTGCTGAGAGGGATGCATTACATCGTGACAGGATTAGTGTGCATGCATTTTGTTGGCTCGATGTCAAGATTGCTAAATAGAGAACGAAGGGCAGATTAACAAAAGCAAGCAAGCGGAGAAATAGATGATCGTGAATGCCTGTTCAAATGGGGCTTTTACATGGTAATTCTGCCATGGGTGACAGAGGGTTGGAGGGGGACAAGACGATTGATTGGAACGATCGTCTGTGCGACGGCTGCAGATAGCACGGACGGTAAAATAGCTGGATATAAGCAGAAAGGGTGAGAGAGGCACACAAGTAGCAACGGAAGGTGTGATAGAGCAAGGGTGATGTGCCGCCTTTGGAGGGAAAAAATAATCGGTCGGTGGTCGAGTCGTCGAGGACTTGTGATTTACGGTGCTCAATTGTATATATTGACCGAAAGAAGTGGAGAATGTTTGCTAGTGAAGCTGTTAAAAATCTTAAATTTGCAGTTATACTTCGTATGAAGCCGAATTGGGAGATCGAATGCGAGAAGTCTTGAGCATGATTGTGCTCAAGTGAGCATTAACTAATATGCAACAAGGCTGGCAGTCGGATATCTCAAGATGTAGTCTATCCAAGAGCAAGCTTTGCAGAACTTGGACCTGCCCACATGCCTTCTTACCTGTCACGACGCTGTGCTAACTTGTGCTTGCTTCATCATTCCTTCACCGATTCTGAATTCTGAAAACATTGTTTTGATGATTGATCAGATTTCTTCTGCAACTAATGATTCTTCCATTGCACTTGTGCGACCCCCAAACATCGTACTGCTTTGCTGACTGCATCGAAGAATCATTTACTGAAGTAAATGCTTGTGATGGCTGAGGGCTAATGACAACCTGATGACTACTTATTCATCCGATATAGGAAAGAGATACGCAACTCGATATTACCCGTGTCAACACCTGCAGGATCATTCGACGCACTTGACTTACCTAGTTCATTTAAACATCAATGCCGGTCTCTAACTCGACTCTACTTTCCGTTCAACGACATTGAATCGCCAACTATTTCTTGTTATGATGCTCTACTTCATTCTGTTCCCTTGCAATTGATCCACTCCTCGGCAAATTTTTGACAATATACAGTAGGGTAGATCTTAAGAAACATATCCACTATTCATTATCGATAAAGTATCCATCTATCACAAGCATCACTCTTCAAGGATCAAAAAGATGTTGTGATGGGGATTTCGTTATGATAGGGTGGATGTTTGCGTTTGTTCTCCCACCAGTACGACCCCAAATTAAGCGAAGAAATTTTGTTGGTCTTTCTCGACGTCTAAATGGTCACAAATGGCAAGGATTTAGTCGCCAGAATACTATATTTGCACTAGCTCCCGTCCATTCAACATGTTCACCTTGCTTACGCGCCCAATGACTGCAGCTCACCTTGATCATCGAATCACCTTATTTTTCCTTGAGTTTTGTCAATTGGGTCGTATAATTCGTGGAGTCCGCATGTACGGTAATCTAACCGGACTGCATGCACATACGCCGAGCAACGAACGAACTGACTTCCTTCCCCTCATCAATGGCTGCAGCCTTCCCCTTGTCCAATATTGCACTTGGTCCTGCACCATTGCATGCGGACGGGATTTGCGGGATTCTAGGATTGTACCAATTCTGCGCCTTACCATGAGTAGTTCCATGGTGGGCCCATCCAATGATCAATTCCAATGGCTATGATGGATGTCTCTTCCTCTGCGACCATAAAGGGACGCTGTGCCCCCTCTCAAAATATCTTCTTCTCCTCAGCAAGCAGTCAATTCATTCTCAAGAGCTAGTCTCCTTCATTTTCCGCCCTTTTTTTGTTTTTCTTCATCTTTTGTTTTTTCCCCGTTCCCAAAGAGCTGTGCTCTGTAATATCATACCAAAATCTTTACATTCTAATCATTCTATCAAGTTGCCGGTCAACTTTTTATTAATTTTTTATTCACAAATCCATACAATCCGAATTTAACCACCAAAGACTAGTCTCTTCTTGCTCGAATTAGCCAATTTCAGTACATTGAATTTTCATCTTAGTATTTCGCATCAAAATCGATCAAAATGGCAGCTATTCAATTATCATTCTCTCTCCGTGTTTCTTCCAGTGTTAAGACCGTTCATTTGCTTGGTAGCTGGGATAACTATGCTGGCCAACTTCCACTCGCTAAAGACAAGACTTCTTCAAAATCAGGTAGCTGGAAAGGTACTTTCAGATTCCAAGGCACCACTCTTCAACCTGGTCAAAGATATTGGTATTACTACATCATCGATGGATACCATGTCTCACACGACCCTGCCGTCTCATCAACTACCGAGCCAACTACCGGTCGCGTCTTGAATATCCTCGATGTCCCAGTCGAAAAGTCCTCAAGCCGATCATCCAAGTCCAGTTCATCAAGCTCCAAGCACTCTTCCAGCTCCAAGTCATCACACTCCTCACACTCATCTTCCCGCAGAGAATCCCGCCGCGACTCACATCTCAGCGTTGACATTCCTAAAGGTCGACCCCTCTCCATCTCTCAAATCAAATCTCCTAAACCCATGTCTCCACACGCCACCAAGCACATCCTCGAAGCTGATTATGCTGCTGGTCCAACTGTCGATGAATTGACCGCACGTTTTGGTGCTACCACCATGGATGAGTACGATTACGATTACGATCTTCCAGGCTCACCATCCTCATCCGTTGGCTCCACCATCTCAGACACCAGTGGCACAAGCTCGCCATCTTCAGCTTCGAGCATGAGCGATTATTCATCAGGTTCTAATGCATCGTCCTGCACCTGTGAGAGATATGGAATTACGAGAAAGGGAGATAGAATCAAGTTGGATTGTGGAGGTTCTCGATGCGGATCCAGCGATTCAGAGTCCTGTAGCTCAGAGGATGAGGCAGATTACTCACGATCATCCCGCAGAAATGGAATCGTTGTCCGTCGATGAATGAACACCCAATGATCCTGGACTGGAAATTCAACACAACACACAGACACAAACACATGCCACAAAGAGAGATGTGCCATTTTCGCACCTCGCTCAAATATTCACCTTATTGCAAGTTTTCGCATCCAATTAAATCAAAAATCACGAAAAATATGCATGCATGCATCAAGTCAAGTCTGGTACTTGTCATGATGTATGTCCCACAGGAAACTGAATCCGCGGCGCAAAACGAAATCAGCGAATCATTCGCAAATTTCATGTACACTTAACAAACGACAAGTTTTCATGGAACTATTTACTGTACTTCTTCAATTTTTGGGAAGGAAAGAAAAGTTACCACATGAAGAGGAGGAAAAGGGGACGATAAATTGCCAGAAGGAGGGGGGGAGGGGGTGGTGCAGGATAATGATAGACACATACTCTCATGATTGAATGAGATATGACAGGTCTTTTATTGGTAATGAAACATGATGGTCATGATTCATGATGATGAGAAATATTGGCACGACAGATTGGATAATGATTATGTGTCAAGTCATGATAACGAGATGATAGATGGATGGGATAGAGGACAATTGAATCTGTTCCACACCATGCCTTTTTGATGCATTTGATTTGTGTGATGTGATTGCAAGTTATTTTAATCTGTCGGTCGCCGGCCCTTGGCCTTTCCAGTGTTTCATGGCTCAACATTCTTTTGTCTGGCACGGTAATGAGCGGTAATTTTTAATTTATGGTGCATTGCCGATTGCCCAATAGAAGTCCCGTTCAAAGGCAAATTCAGTATTGACTATACTCTCATCAATGCATGATTTCATGGGTAATTTAGTAACTTAAATCAATTAGACCCCATTTTTCGTCATCTACCACCAGCCCTCGACCTCCTATGAAACTTCTTCAACCCCGGATTTATCCATTAATAGTCTTCCTTTTCAACAATACAAGGATAAGAAATTATACGTCCTGAAAAACCCTACTTCTAAGTTGAGTAATTCGCTAGCCAGAAATGTTTCAGGTGGTGGATGTTGATGTAGCGGTAGAAGTTCCATAAATTCATTTGTATTCGAATAATCTACATTACTATATTCATTAAGAGCCCTTATTTCTCGTTTTGAGTACACACATTTATACATATATCTAGGACTTCGAGTCACCTTTGTTTCATGAATCAATATTTCTCCACCGCCATCCTCCGGGGTGCGTTGAGCCAGAGCAACTCCTACTCCTGAGTTGAGGAGTTATAGCGTCCCATCTGAAACTTCTTCTTTTGTGTAACTAGATCTCAATATCAGTCCCTATAGAACTGACCTCATTGCCCTCAGCTTGAAATCTGTCCGGTTTTGGGAGACTGAAGCAGAGCAGAGGTCTGGTCATATCTTCACCATGGCCCCTCTTCATGCTCCTCTTGTTTCCATCACATAATCAGTGCTCTTCAATTATACTCCATCAATTTTGTTTTTGTTCAGAACAATCATTCAGTGCCTCTTGACCCTTTCACTCACATCCAGGGCTAGTTTGACACTAGAAACCATGAACAAAACTAGATCCACAAAATGGGAAAAGTGATATCTATTGAATTCGTTTCATAATCAACGGTCGTGGGTTACGATTTGTGCAAGAAACCTTCACTTCTCTCCCTACTGGAATGGAAACTTGATCTTTTACAGCTACCAAATACTCAGAGCGATACTTCCATTAGAGGACCCCGCTGCGCGTCAATAGCTCTTAAATATCACTTCTTTCTCGAGAATGGTCAGCTTTATTCACTGCCCCTACCTATTTCCCAAGACCCCTTTATAACTGATATCAACAGTCAGCACTGAATGCTGACTGATTGATCTTCTTGAAAGAGACTTTGGCTATGAGTAAGTGCTGTCGCCGCCCAGGAATCAAAGAACAAGTATAGAACGAGAACATTATGTTTGCGCCGAGAACTACACAGCTAGCCACCGTGAAGCCTTTGGACGCTATGTGAAGTGATGCTGTATAAAATGCGACTTTTGCAGAATTTGTGACCACTTGCCAAACCAAAATAAACCAAACTTCATGAACTAGATTATGGCTAGGATTCAAGTTGAGATGTGGCAGGTACGAGAATGATCCCAAGTCACTGATGCTGTGAGCGCGGTAAACGAGGCTATTCCCTACTGTGTATTAGTATATAATCCCTCATCTATCCCTTTGATCGAAACTACTGATCTCAAAACATACTTCCTCCACAGCTCGAACCATTTTACATACTTCCTATCATCAAGTAGCCGCCCAGAATATCAAGAATCAAGATGGACCAATTTAGTAGAGACCAGCAAAATTCCTCCAAACGATCCAAAGACCCCTCGATGGCTCCTCGATCTTCATGACTGGAAGCTCAGGAGATACATTGATGTTGCCAGTACCATTGATACAGAAGGCTATGGTATCGTTTCCTATACCTGGGGTTATACCGTAGACCTTGACAAACCGCAGCCAGATGATAAACTGCCAGACGGTCTTCTTTGGGACGTACCAACTACCTCTGAATTCAGCCTTGATCGAGCGAGAGAGGTTATGGCCAAAATTGGTACTCGTTATGTTTGTGGGATTGGATATGTGTTCCTCGGGAAACTTTGGATGTTCATCGAACTATCACTGACAGCCTGAGAAGTGCAGGGAACGAAGAAATCGGGAAGCAATTGTGTGCTCGCTTATTCCCAGTGTCACTGAATTATAACTAATCAATCCATCAGCAACATATACCGCAATGCTAAGAGGAGTATCGTGTGGCTTCATTCAACAGATTGGAGTTTGCAAAGCCCATTGAAATCGCTACTTCTAGCTGGATTAAAAGACAATGGAACGCTACCAGCCGAGCCGAAAGCATATTTTGATTAAATTGTGCAACTGCTCACTCAATCCCGAAAATTGGAACGATAGTTCGTCTCGGGTTGGACGTTCCAAGAGGGCGGTTTAATCCCCGAAAATATTCTAATCGATGGCGCTAGCAATGCTTTTCAACATGATACATTCATGCACAATGGAGGACACGCTTCGGTAATCGACTTGACGGCTAGAGTTACTAAGCTCGCTGTCGAGGTAGCCCAATTCTTCTCGCTGCAAGCCAATGGTCAATGCTTTTGTTGCCTCAGCCTTTGTTTTCTGTGAACAAAGGGCAGTCGGCGAGCGGTTTTAGAGGCCGTCGAGAAAGCGAAAATACCGGCCTCGAGCTGGAATACCACGCGCGAGGTAGACGCCTCGAAATTCACAGGTCATGAATTATTCGATCTATACGGGGAATACTTCAAGTATCTCTCCCGAGTTCCGGTGATGGATGATGTAATAGTACCAGATTTACCAACCTCATTTTTATTTGAAGGGTTAACACTAGCTCCCTTCGTATACACCGACTTGACCTCGCCAAAGGATACAATTCGCTTGGTCAAAATGGTATCAAGCTCTCAGGATTTATGGCTCCCCATCTGTGTGTCCACAAGAACTGTCAACTTCCGAGACGGTGCTCAATATGCCACGTTGTCTTACACTTGGAGCAATGCTCATGGTATTTTTTCGTCAGAAGAAGATGCTAAAGCCGATACACGGCACGATATCTCAATCTCATGCGATGGCAAGATTATTAAAATTGGGGAGAATCTATATCGGTTCCTGTGCTGGTGGCGACAGTCTCTTGTAAACTTTGAAAATATACGACAGTCCATGCGAGGAAAGATGCCGGACCGAGCCTGCCCTCCCGAAGAGTTCTGGATTGACGCCATATGCATAAATCAGAAGAACGACGAGGAAAAGAATTCTCAAGTGTCCGTCATGGGGGATATTTACACTCACAGTCAGACAACTTGGATCTGGCTAGGCGAAAGTGATGTGTTATCTGAGCCAGCACTTGAACTTCTCTCCACCATGGGGAACAACACCATTCGCCAAAGCTGGACTCGGTTTAAAAAAAAGCATCATGGGATCTAGGAGCTCTCTTGAGGGAGCTAGACTTGCCAGATGTCTTATCGTGCAAGTGGTTCGCTTTTTTTGCATTCTTTCAACGCCAATGGTTTAGAAGATCTTGGGTAATACAAGAAGCGGTTCTTTCATCTCAAATTGAAGTTCTGTGCGGATCAAAATTATTTCCCTGGGATCTTCTCGCTCTGACGTCCACTTTTCTGATAGTATCTGATTTGCTTCATCACGTCAACACCCTTGGCGAGATGGAGATGCAGGTAGGCCATGTCAAGCCGACTCGGAATCCATTCAAATTAGACAGCAGGACTCACCTGGAGTGGTCTAAATAGCTGGCTTTTAGACCAGTTTCGTTTAGACCCAGATCTAGCCGTGTTCTTTTTGCCAAGCAGAATCACGAGTCTCAGAATAATCGATACAACCATCGAGTCAAAAGACACGCCAACTCTACGTCCTGTTGGAGACAGTATCGATCCCATTGCTATGCTTCTAGAGCTTTGGAGACTTTGTCGGACAAATTTGTGCTTTGACGCAAGAGATAACGTCTTTGCCTGCGCCTCCCTAGCCAACAAAGATATCTACAGAACCCCGAATACGACTGCAACGCGACGACAACTTCTCCCGGACTATGGAAGATCAATCACAGAGGTCTACCAAGAAGCAGCATGGTTCACTCTCTTCTCACCCATGCCGTGTTGCAAATATTATCGATGACACGCCCCACAGTTTATCGCAACATACATGATCTTCCGTCCTGGGTCCCCGATCTCTCGCAGTCGCCGAGACTTCACGGGCTTTGGCAGATCGAGTTGGAACAGGTAAGGATAGGATGGTGTGCGGCTGGGAATTCGCGTTGGAAGATGCCACCACCAGCCACGCTTTACGGGCGCTACTTGGTGGTACAAGTTATCTTTGTGGATATGGTGAGCAAAGTTCAGCATCCGAAATATCGTCATGATAACGAACACCACTCGCGTTCGGATTACACAGAGATTGCAGAGTTTTTTCTCGAACCCGCACCGCCGTATGTGGATTTGAACGCTGGTCGGGATTTATACGAAGTTGTTTGGCGAACGACTATAGCCAATTTTACGGATGGTGTATCACCAGATGTTTACGAACACGCGCTTCATTTTGAAAGGGGATGCTTGCAAGAATTGATAAAAACCAGGAAGGAGTATTTAGCCGGCGAGATTGATGCAGCTGAATTCACGAGCATGATAAGTATCGTGGAAGAGATGAAAGATACAGGCTGGCTGCGTGGCGATTGGGGGTTCATACCTAATCCTACTCGCGACGGAGAAGAAGAGACGTCACATCTCGAAAGTCGCGCATGCCGCCTCATAGGTAGTGGCGAGGACGGCCCGTCGGGAGTGCTGTCGTCAAACAGCGAGGGTGTGGAATTCAACGATAGGGCAGGGCGTACTCTCACGCATCGCCAGCTGTTCTTCACTGCGCTGGGCTGTGTGGGGTTGGGGGCCTTGATGTGAAGTTTGGCGATTCGGTTGTGGTAATGGCAGGATCGCCAGTGCCCTTCGTGGTGAGACAGGGCACGGATGGGCGGTATAAGCTTGTAGGAGAGGCGTACATAGACGGGATTATGTTTGAAGAGGCGGTAGATGAGGGTGGGGAGTGGGAAGAGATCACGTTGGAATAGTATAGATTACCTTGCATTGGTAACCTTGGGTATAAACTCAGATACTTTAGCAAACCCTCAACCTTCAAATGCAGAGCATACTACCTATGCAATCCCGGATTCCAAGCCATTGAATCCCAAAAGCAAAACCCATTCACAATCCCGCATCATCAGTGATTCTGCCTCTTATTTTAAACACAGACCCCGATAAATCCGCTCAGGTATATGCATCCACATCACCGTATTCACGCAGAAGCTGTGAGCAAAATGCGGAGTAAAAGAGAAGAAGCAAAAATATCTCAACAGCGTAGCATAGAGATTGTAAGACGGAACAGGCGAAGTAACACTTTCCCACCACTTTCAATTTCTCTGGTTTGAATTTCGGTTTCCTGGAGTTGTGATGCTGCTATGCATGGGGAATTCGTTTATTTCATTCCCCTACCATCCCACGATCCTCTGAAACCGTACTTTGTTGGCGACCATAATGTTCTTCGGTGCCCTCAGATCTCCGCATTATAGTGTCAGCACCCAATTTTCCTTTCTCCCATCTTATATCTCTAGTACATCTCTCCTCTCCCCTTTCATACCAGTACACCATCTCCTTCCCCCCAACACCTCCTAAATACCCTGTCTCTATGCCTCTCAAGATTTCTCCACCTCCCCATACCCTCCGCGAACCTCTTATCACCCTTCCCCCACCCCAACCCCTCATCACCTAACAACCACGTATAAGCGAAAACGCTCGCATCAAAGAGGCCCGGCGCATCCCCAGAAAACCATTTCTCCTCCCCAAGTAACAAACTAAGTGCTTCCCATGCTCTGTCCGCCTCCCTATAAATCATTTCCTGGTCAATAATTTCCGCGCTCTTGCGCAACTCAGATTCCGCTGCGGAGCGCAGTTGGTGGGCCGTATAGAGGCGAACTGGGAGAGAGGAGGATGCCGGGTCTATGTAGAGGGGAGCGGCTATCTCGCGGAAGTTCGAGGGGGTCAGATAAAGAGAATGTAGCTTGAGAAGATTAGTTAGGCCATCAAGTCTAATATTGGGCAAGCAAAGAGACATACCCAAGCATTTCTAATATTATGATCGATTAGAGCTTGATAAGCTTCCAATTTCCTACTCTTTGGTTCAGGGACTTTCTTTCCTTGTTCCTTTGCATATTTCACCAGTCCATTACTCGGTATTGGAAGGTGGACATCTTGTGAAGAATTCGATTTGATGCCTGGTAAGAGGAAAGGTAGGACACCAGTAGGTGAAGCATGATTATTTGAAGAGACAATATTATGATTAATTCCTGCGAGATTTAAAAATGTCTGTCCATAACGTCAGCCTCATAGTCTTTCATTTGATGTTGCTTGCTTGCTTGAATCTCTACATAGGTAGACATACCTGCCATTTCAAACATCCCGGATTAAAACTTGGCCTGCCTCCATTCTCTTCCTCGCCCTCTCTACAGAAGATATATAAACTGGGCAATCTAGCATCTCTATCATTTCTTCTGCTCTTTGCCCCAGGACTCCTTTGTGGTAACTCGTTTGCTGGATATGTGACAACAGGAACTTTATCAAATAATTTCTTAACCGGTCTAGGTATACTGAATAAATCCTTCACGGCATTTGTCTGTCGAGTGAAATTGGATTGATTGTATGTGGCATCTTTCTGGGTACTCGAGCCATCTCTTCTCTCATTCTGCTTCGGCCTCGCAGACGAGGTTGATTCATTTGAAGGAGGCATAGTTTCCCTTGCCAATCTCGAATGGTTTAGATAGATGCGACCAGGGTAATATCAAATCAGAACAATAATGGTGACTATGACTAGGGACCGAGGGACCTTGGTAGTTTCGGCGCGTCTTCCGATAGTTTCCTTTCCTCTGGTGGGATGGGACCAAAATTAAAATGATGAGGCTGCCCGCGCTGGCCTCACCGCACCGACTCAATTAATTTCAATTTCAATTGTTTAATTTTTTTCATCTTTTTTCATCTTTTTTTCGGGATAGCCGCGACATAGCAAATTTCAATGCGAAAAAAAAGGGCCGAGGAACGGCAAGAACGGAGGATAGGATAAGTAAGATAAGGCACCTTTGCATTTCGAATTAGATTTGAAGGTCCATACGAGTACAAGTTACAAGTCACAACTTTCCCTAGTCCTGGCGAGTGTGAGCTATTAGTCCCAGGTACGATACGATACGTATATTTACCGGAATGTACACCTAAATGCCGAAGTATCTCCCGTTGTTAATTGATGGAAAAAATGGATTTATCCGTGAAATGTACGATGCCAGATGGGTTATTGTATCTGGGTTCTAGGTACCTAATGAGTGGATTGAGGGATTGAGCGATTGAGGAATCAATATTGAAAAGACATCGTGAAGAATATCGAGAATGGTCGGGTATGACAGCAGCTACACAGTCCTTGGTGTGGTCCCATATTACCACCGAAATAGCAACCTCCATATATATACAAAATGCATCTCTGGCGTGAGAATGATGGAATGATATTGGATGAGATGAACTCAGTTGCCTTGGAATCTTTTTAAAGATCTTGGATGCATGAACCTACAAGGTATGAAAAAGAACCCCCGAATCATAAGAAATGGGTCTTTGGATCAGGTACAGAATGCATGCAAGATTTTTTCTGACATGCAGGATAAGCGTGCTAGTATGTCAACGTGAAGGAAGGAATTATATCGTCACATCCAACAAGGTCATTTTTATCATAAGCGCAAGTGAGAAAGATGGGAAAGAAAGATGAAAAAATATATATAGGTACCTATGTAAAAGGGGGCGACAACTTAATAGCCGAGCTCTTCTCGAAAAATCGTCATTCTCATACTCTCATTGTCTCACACTTTCACACTCTCATACTCTCATAATCTCATACAACAACATACCTACGCACATTTATTAACCTCTTATCCGACCTCGCAGCATAGAAATCGTTGTACCTCGGATGAAAGAAAAGAAACGTATGATCCGTTTCGGTTCCACAGCGATAAGGCTCTTAGTGACTCTCACTCACGGCGGGATGAAATATTAACCTGAAAGAAAATGCTTACGAAGTGGCTAACTTACGACTAACTCGATAGTGATATGGGGAAATACTAAAAATGGATTAGTTCTTCGATAAATTGGTACGAGTACCTTGCAATTGCGGAGAAAACAAAGCGGTCTTTTCTCTTTGCCCATGTCATAAATACATATGTACCTAGTAGGTCCTAGGTAGCCGATAACAAATACTTTGGTAAAAATCAAATGAAAAACGGTTGTGGGATATTTGGAGATCATAACCAATTAGATTTGAATATACCCTTCATCGAGAGGATACTTATGAGACAATATTCGATAATCCTTAAATAACCCCATTCAAAATCGTAACTCGGATGATGATGCTCCTCCGCTGTCTACTTCGTAATTGTCAAAAATATGTTTACCGAAAGCAATCCCTTGAGACCCTTGAGAATATCATATTCAACCCACTTCCAAACCTTGCCTGTCTTATTGAACCCTTTCAATCCCAAATTGTAAATAAAGAAAAGAGATTTCGTCACTTGATCATCTTGATTCAAATACTTAACAATTCCTTCTTGTCCTCAAAGGAAGTCACTTGAAACAAAGGACCTGGCTCAAATCATCATCACCCATATCTCGACCGACCTCTTTCAAGAACCACTCTGCCACATCTTCTCCAACAACGAGAAATCTACCGAGTACTTAAAAAGCACTCCGTGTCCGCTTCACGTTGCGATTACCATCCCACCTCAAATCCAAGTTCCCTTCCTACCAATCTTGTACTCACCCAGCCATCTTACCCCTCACCTCCATCCCTTTAGTTCAAGTTGACATCTTTGTTTCTGAACATCCTCTCACACTATTTCTTTCGAAATTGACACTTGACACATCCTCTCGCCCATCGTCATATCGCAGGCCACCAATCCGGTATCAATCTACGTACTTCGAGTCAAGCTTTCTTCGGAATCTCTTTTCCAAGTCCCAAAACAAGACGGATCGTCACGTACGATCCAAACCATCTTCGTTTCCCACAATAAGTCCGGGGTTTGAGTTTAAGATTACCCAGTCGAAATTCCGCAGGAGAACCACTTGAAGAATTTTGAGTCTTAGTTCGACCGAGGTATACGCATTTTGGGAGTTACAAAAAATTACAAGAGCAAAGAGCAAGAAAAACTACCTTGGATCCATACGTTACGTCGTTCAGATCATAAAGATACTTGAATACCAATTCATATATATACAAACAAATATATTTCTCCTACCGAAAGAATAGAGAAAGTTCTTCATACTCAAAATCTGCTCTTCGAACCCCGCTCTTCTTTCCAAACACAACAAAGAAAAATACACTTTTCCCTCTACCTGCAACCAACCTTATCTCCCCAAAGAACGCAAAAATGAACGCCCCTCTCACATCACCAACCCGTACCACCTCCTCATCAACTTACTTCCAATCCTTCCCAACCGGCCCCTCGACATCCTCCACCTCCTCCTCCTCCTCCAGCGGCCCAACATCGGCTCCTCAACCCCCCGCACCCCAAGCGCCCCAGCGCTCCTCAAGTCAAGACGAAACCTCCCCGTTTCTCAAAGATTTCAACCTCGTCGCCGAAGCAGCCAAGAGGGCACAAATGGCATGTCTAATGCGAGATATGGAGGGCTGCGGACTGTAGTTTTGGGGAACATGGAGAATGGTGATGTGGATGCGCGTGCGAAGATGACGATGTACAATGGGTAGCACACCTACCCATTTATGCGAATCTGCACCAATCAATCGTCCAGAAACCGAGGGTTGAATAACTCGCACGGCGAAGCTCGAACACAAGATGAACAGGAGAGAAAGAGAAAGAGAAAGAGAAGAGAAGAAGAGAAAAGAAGCGATAGGTCACCAGAAATCTATCATCTAGATACTGTACCCACTGCACAAACCGCCCATCTCGCTTCCCTTCAGCAAACCCCTTCATCCGCATCTCTACTCTCCTCTCACAATTTCGAAACCTCAGCACACACCACACCACACCACACCACATCACACCCCTCCACCAACCAACCACTCACCACTCCTCAAAATAACGAAACCACGAGTTCAAGACAGGCGGCGACGGCGGCGGCGGCGTTTTTGGCATCCGGAATCTAGGATATAGCATTTAGCATACCAGGACCACAAATGGTGCTTTTTTGGCGTTTCCTTTTTCTTTCCTTCCCCTTCCTTTTCCTTTTGCTTTCAATTTATTACTATTATTACTATTATTACTATTACTATTATTATAGCATCGATTGATTGATTAATTGATTAATTGATTGATTACTTACTTAATCCAAACCAATCCAATCCCAATCCAAATATTTTTCCACCTCGAATTAAATATCCATTTGGCTGGTTACTCACGTTACCTACTATTTATTGTTATTAGATAAAAGGAGAGGAGACGAGAGACGAGAGACGAGGAGAGGAGAAGTGGTATTTTGGGAGAAATCAGATGGGAATCGGGATCACACGCACACACATATATACTATATATATAGGTACTATATATATTATATACCATCATCCCAGATAATAATACCAAATATATTTACGCGCAAAACCTGCTTCTTGGTTTGAGATAGCTAGCTATCTAGTATTCACTTGTGAGATTATGTACCTATACATCAATACGTCCCCTATCCTCCCTACAAGCAAGCCCTCACCTCCTCTCTTGATTACATGCCACCAACATATCAAGTAACATAATATCCTCTCCATTAGAGATCATACAGTGAATCAAAACCCTCAGAAAAGATATTATAAGAAAATCGTAATCACACCAGTTACACACTCATATATTCGAATAGATATATCTTCGCTTTGCAGCCGGGTATAACTTTATTAAATATATTATACCATTCGATATTGCAAATCATTAATCATTCATTTACCCACTCCGAACTTCATTGCTCACTCCGATCTTCAATCTCCAATCCTTTCCCTTATCCCTAACCAATCCGAGAATACTCTGCTCGCATCCTTTCCCGGAAACTTCAGGAATTTTGTACAAGCATTTCCCCATTAACCCTGACTATGATTTCTACTTGCGCCATCATTCCTCCTCGGTCTCGTATAATTATCAATATTAACAAAAGCTCCCGTTCCTCCCGATTCTCTAAGGTCTTCTAGAAGTACCGTTGTTTGTTGGTAGACACGTTCAAGGGCCGCTGAGGATGATTTGCCGAGGGAGACTTTATTAGTCCGTGTTAGCAATTAAGCACACAAACAAGAAAGCGAGCACTAGCGATTCTTCAAGCTGAAATGGAAGTGAGTGAGAGACGACTTACGAAGAATAGCAGAGTTCAATTCCTCTGCTACAGCAACTCTTCCACTCGGATCCAAGAGATGAGAGACGGTTTTCTCATTGATAGGATCTTTGTATGCAATTAACGAGAAAGCATCTTCCAAAGCTTTGCTAACCTCTCTTCTTGGATCATCCTTGAATTCTGCTTGAAGGACCTGTCCATATGACAATGTGTCTGATAGCAAATTCTGATAATCGATTTCAAAATTATCAGCGCCATCCGTTTCCATTCTATCCCAATTGTTGGCCTGGGGTTGATGATCATCCAGTTCCATATCATGATTTAGAATATCATCATACCAATCCCCGTTATGCGCCGAATTCTTCTTCGATGCGTTGGTAGAATTGGAGTTATGCATTTCTGCCATCTGTCGAACCATTTCGATGAACTTGCGACATCTTAATCGAAAATAAACATGTTCGTTGTCTTTCAGAACTTGAGGATAATATGCGTTAGTATATTTGAGGGCCTGCTCAACATCCCCTTCTAATATTGCTGTGCGTATGCCTGTGTAAAATTAGTATTGATATCTGGCATTAGTCGGTAATACTCACGTTGCCTATGGCTAGCATCTTGATCATCTTTGATATCGAATCCTGGTATGGTAACGTTAGGATCCATGTTCAATGCCTTCTTTTCAGAGTGAACTTCATTCGCGAATTCTCTTGCCGTTTCGACATAGCCATCATGTGTTAGAAATTGTAGAACCTATTTGGAATCAGTCATTAGATGGTCGAACGTCTTGAGAGTAAGTCATACCAAAGATTGAATCAATTCCGTTTCATTCAATGGCGGTTGAAGTTTTGTAGTACTAAGAGATGGTTTAGCATCCCCAACAAGCTATAAGGTCGAAATGAAGTACCTGGTGGAAGCGATCTCATTCTTAATTCGACATTCTTCGTGCTGTAAAAGTGTTAGATCACAATTTCTGACTGTGAGCTGTCCAATCGTTCGGCGCGCGACTGATCCGAGATAAACGATGCATAGCAAACAAGGGTTCTTAAAATGCTTGAAGCTAAAGACATAAAGACATTAAGGAGATAGTTTCACCGACCAAGATCATTTCATCTATGTTGTAGACGAACGGACTTTGCCCAAAATTTACTCTAACATGCTCGCCGGGTTTCTTCATGCCAACAGATGGGAAAAGCTCGCCCCTTCCAGTTACATCTCGGAATGCGATACCTTGAATGATGATATTAACAGGTGTTCTAAGAAAACGGAACAGAAACAATGGAATAGAATCGAGTTGTAGCATGAGAGGAAGTTTACAAATACTGACCTAAATGATCTCCATTCTTTGTGAAGAAGGCGGTACCAGTTGAAAAGTTGACTCCGCAACCTATTACATCTTCTGTAGAAAATGATGGGCCGTAAGCTTTTCCAACACTCGCACCAGCATACCCATGACCATCGTCACCATGATATGCCCAAGAGTCAGGTTCCCATCCCGGTAATCTTGATAATGGTATTTTTTTGGTGGAAAATCCAATACCAATAGAGCTACTAGGGTGAGCGTTAGTGAGGCTTCAACCATGCAAATCAATTGGAAATCATACTCTTCTCGCTTCCGCGACAAAATTGTTACCTCGAAGTAATAAATTCCACACTGGGGAGGCATGGGGTGATCGGATCTGATGGCGGAAGCCTCATTATCTCGATCGTTCATGGATTTTGGGCCCGTCAGTTTCACCTCAAAGCCATCATTTGCGACTTCCAATGCTCCAAATTTGTCTGTTGTACTCCATTTGCTTGGCAATGGGGATAAGGTTTCATCTTCGATGAGGGGAGTTTTTTCGACGAGGTCATAAGGTCTACCTCGATGCGAAGGGACCATCTTTGCATGTAGATTGACACTGCTAGCACTAGTTGAAAGAGAATTTGGTTGTGATGACGGGGCTGACCCATCTCTATGCGCCAGGACCTTTGCCTTGTGCGCTTCCTCTAACTTTTGCACATATTTCGATCCCCTCAGATATGAGGGCACAAAGAAATGGTCCGCATTCCCACCAAGTCCCCCGTACCCATGCCCATTGGGGAGTGAAGAAAACTCATTTGCGAGTGAACCAAAAGCGCTTGAGAAGCTTGGAAGTTGTCCTCCTCTACCCCATGATCCTGATCGTCCTTGATTGACCCCGCCATTACCATTTTCCTCATCAAACCCGGAGAATGCCCCATATCCGTATCGCCCATTATAATTTGGATCGTAGTAAGTGGAATCATGTTGTTGATTTAACATGTGTGTGTTCGAATTTAGAAGATTTGCGAAATGGCCGGGTCTTGAAGGTTGTCCATATTGTTGAGAGTTACCGGCAGCTATGCCAGATACAACAGAGGCATATGAAGATCTTCGAGGCATGAAACCGGGAGCTCCAGTAGGCATGCCGGAGTCTGGAACCCCCGGTGAGCCCGAAGGATATGAGTTTGTCATTTCGACTGTATGTAGACAGTAGTTAGATTGAGAGAAGAGACTCGTTGTCGCTTGTGAGTATTTAGAAGTCGAGAGGTTTGGTTGTGTATGGAGGTTGTTTTGTGTTGTTTTGTTCCTTGAGCTTGAGGTTGTAAGGCGCAGAAGTTAAGTTTATTACCTATCTGCAGCTCTCAATTCAGTAGTGAATGGCGGATTGAACCAAGGTGGAGATGAAGTGTGATGTACCAGTAGTAGTTGGATTGTTTCATGACTAGCGAAATCTCATTAAGTGTTAATGTGGTTGAGTTCAGAATTCACATTAGAATCATATTTCTGAATGTTCAATTTCTTGTAAAGCTTCAGTTTGTGGTTTGTACGAATGATAAGTTGTTATCGAATCTTTAACACATCAATGTACGGTAGCTGTGTAGGTAGGTTCCTCGAATGTTGCCATTTGCGGATTCCATCATACGTGAGCTAATCCCGTTATGGTTCGACCCCCGATGACCGGGGGGGAGGGGTGGTGATGGAAATCATCATGAGGAGGAACATTTATCACGATTCACGGACTCCACTGATTTCTATCATTTGCTGCTTATGAACAAATTCACCATATTTCGAGTAACATTTTTTATTATGATGGGAGGATATGAGCGGTATAATCATCAAGTAGGTAGGTAGGTAGGTAATTAATCAATCCAGCTACCCATATACATATATAAGCCGATATCCTCTCAAAGTGTTCAATATACTTTCTGAAATCCCTACTTGATATGATGATAGAAATCATCCCGGAGACACAAGACCATAATGCATTGAGATTCAAACCCGTTTGAATGAGCATACTAGGTAGTTCCCAGCCATATAATTCTACTTAGTATATACATCCATCACCCAATCGAGGTCGAATCTTGGAGAAGAACACCACAGATCGATCAGACGAAAATCAATGAATGCCCATCTGAACTCAAATAATCACATTATAAATTATGTCAATTTAAATACAAGCTCAAACAAAAATATCATTACCATGTAAATATCCCCTGATAGACGTAAATATCCAAGAATAACATGGATATCTGGGTCCCTCGTAAGAAATGAGACTTGCCGTGAAGCGATGACATATATGAACAGCCAGTCGAAGCTACATTTGTAAATGTGAAAGCTACTGACGAATTCACTGATCCGTCTGCGAATAGCTTGCCATCATGGGACTGGAGATCATGGTAAGGAAACACGTGAACTGGCCTTTGTATGCCCGGTCGGGCTGTGAAAGCAAGAAAGTAATCATAATCTATAATTGTTTAAGCAATAATGCGTGAACCCAAAGGCCGCGACATGCTACATTAACACTCCCCTGCTTTGAGGAAACGCCAGAAACACCATTGCTTTGGCGGAATTTATTTCCACTCCATCCAAGTTCATTCCATCAACAACGCCCCGTAAATTTTCCCAAAGCCCAGTAAATTGAAACCAAAGAAATTTTTATACATGTCTTGCGTTGGTGACAAAGCAGGGTTGTTTTGTAATCCGATTCCTTGACAAGATTGCCCATTAACGAGAAAGAAGAGGTTGATCGGGTAGGATCCGAGTTCTAATACACGGAATAAAAGACTAAAATAGGCGGAAGGTATTAGGCGGAAGCAGTGATAACCGCAGGAGATTGAGTTTGATCTTGAGTTGATGTAGGCGCAACAGCAGGTGCAGAAGTGGAGGTAGACGTAGAGGCTGGAGCTGGAGCCATGGCTGGGGGAGAGCTGACGAGGTTGGTAGCATCAACATCCATGGCGCTAGTGCTCTTCTCACTTTCAATCTGGCTGTTTTCCTTGTTCTCCTTGCTACTGTCACCAGTTGACGAACCTTCAGTACTGGGATTAACTGTCACTTTAGGAGGGGCTCTCCACCTAGGAATCTCGATAGGGATGCCCGTAAATGTTTTGATAATGAAGGAGCGCTTCTCCCATTTGCGACAAGGTTTACCAGAACGATCGAGGGCACGTAAGCCAGCATTGATTGCGCCTTGGTTGGCCTTGGGCCCAAGCCGGGAACTGTTTCCATTGGACGCCCTTGGAGTACTTCCGTTAGGAGCAAGTGTGCCATCATCCCTAAGATAGAGTTAGCACATGTAAAAGAAGATAACTGCGGAGCCCGGTGTTCCCTAGAGCATTGACCCGCCCGGCAAGAGATATAGCTTTGAAGCTCGACGACAGTGAAAAGGTGCAATGTACTTACAATCTTGCCTTCTTCTTTGGACCTGGCTTGCCTCTAGCCCTAGGAGTTGTGTCTGATCCCAAGGCGGCAGTAGAACTTCTCTTGACGCCAGCCTTCTTCTTAATTGCTTCCGTTGGAGGGGGCATCGATGATGAAACTGGTGTATCAGTACCATTTGGTACGGGCGTATTTGGGTCCGACTCGACCGGAGCGTCACCATTTTGACTCTTTGCGACAGGCGTAGTAGTTGGAATTGTTGATGTGGAATCCTTTGATGGAGAGTCTTCTTTGATCAAAGGTTGACCAACACCCCTTAACTTTGCAGGAGATAATTTGAGAGTAATGATCATGGAACTCTTCTCTTTCAGGCCCGACGACTTTCGTCGTGGAGCAGAGGTAGTCGGCGTAGGTTTGCTTGCTGAAGCCATGATGGAGGAGTCGTGGAAGTTGTGAGACGTGAAAGTTTGAAGACTGGGAATTGACGGTCGCAATAAATAGGGTGGTGAGGTATTGTATGTGTCGAGGAAGGACGTATTGAGTGCTCGAATCAATCGTGCAGTATGGATATGGGTGATGGGTTATGATTTGGGAGGTCAAATGGTGATGGTATTCAACATACTTCGAAAATAATTTAAGGTGTTGAGTGTGAATAATTTCTTTTTGGTTGAATTGAAAAACGAAGTAATGATAAGTTGGAAGGAAAGGTTATGGGGGTATGGAAAATCATGATTAAAATTTAAGAGCAAATGGACTTGTCTCGTTTTTTTTCCTCTACTATACGCGTTGAGTGAAGGCAGGCTGAGAATGTTGGTGCTCTTTCACCCAGATTATTATTAGTTCAAGTTGAAGAAGATTATACGCGAAGTCGGCTTTTCTGGCTTCCTTTGTGTTTGGGGCGGATGCTGGGCTGGTTCCTCTCTGATGTGATTTTCTTTTACATTTATGATTTATGATTAATGATATTGGATTTATTTCTTTTCTCTTCTCTTCTTTTTCTCTCTTTATCATTCATCCAAAATTATATCTTTCTTTTGAACCGTCGCCTTTTATACGGCCGGCATTCATTCATCTGCTATTTGCATCGTGAATGAATCATGAATCCATCCACGAATACTTGGGTAGAGGCCGTAAGTAGTATGTATTATTTCATCGTTATCATCCATTTCCAGTTTCAGTAAGGTACCACTAGGTAGGTAAGCCTTTCCTCTCACTCAATCTCCTTATTATTCCTTCCTTCCGCAATCCCGGGCCTGACCATCGAACATTGAACGCTTGGAAAGCAGGAAAGGTAACGCCGATATGGATATAACGATCAAACTTTTGGCAGGTAGGTATATCTAAGTGTATATATACACACACACATACACACACATATATATATATATACATATTTTGAGCCGGTCGGTTTTCCAATCATTCCATCCGCTCTCGTCGCATCCCCTAATCAACGGAATCTCACGTCATGAGAAAGACATCGCTGGCAACTAGAGGACAAGAGTCTAAAAGAAGTGGCCGCCAATCTAATGGAAGTAAGAACAGAGTGATCAACTGGTTTTATTCCTATTCATTACTACTAGGTATATATATATTGACCTTTAACTTTCACATCGTTACAAATTTCCCTTTGCTCCGGATAGTCTCGATAGTCTCGATAGTCAACTATCTCCACGATGTGTCCGCCCTCCCCCCTCTCTTTACCAGACACTAACTACATCTCGATCATTCTTTCCGACAATGTTTACCAAATTTGTAACCCCCAAGAAGTATCAAGAAAGAATTTTATCCACCACATGAGGATGAATACTAATAAGTATCTGCACAGACAGAGTGGCGCCAAATATCAAAACCAACTCATTCTTTTTCACCAACAATAGACGAGGCTTGCAACATCTTACAATCCCCGGAAACAGCAATTTGATGTGCGTATCATCACACCCATTTATCTTGAGCTATTGGGCGAAGAGATTGCGAGGGTGACCCCTTTCTTCTTTTTCTTCTTCTTCTTCTTCTGGGCGCTGGATATTGAACAGGTGGCTGATCATTCAATTTTTTATCGGATCATTAGCATCATAATCCGATGCATCCCTCTCTATCCGCCACATTAAAATTCGAGATTTAGATGATACTCTGGTCTTCGAATTATAAGCATTGCCGCGCACACCTGAAACCATGAATTATTCAAAGCAGAGAACTTGGGAATTAACCAAAAAAGGTATGATAGCATTGACCAGCAGGAAAGAAATGACAAAGGGTAGCATAGCACTGCTTGATCCTTTGATCAATCCTTTTGTGGATGTTCCGCTCAAAAATCGTTGCGTTGATGGTCTGGAGATTTATAGATGTGTCAAATAGTTTTGACATTAATAAATCATCGATCTGTTGTACTCTTATTTTAATATTTATCGCTTTTGACAAGTAGGATGAAATTTCAAAAATCCATCATCTCACAGAGGTACACATCAGATCAACTCAAGTTGGACAGCATTTATAGACAAATTTTGCTTCGTCGCATACAACATTATTTGCATTTATCATTGATGGTTACCTAGCATGCCCCATCAGTTGATGTCTGTCTAAGTCACAGTATTGGAACAATTCGACCAGTAACGTGCAATGAAGCAAACATGGACGATTTTCTCATGGGCGTTGCTTAAATGTCTTATTTGGCTTCAGACAATGGTATGTCGGTCAAAAACTCTAGTCTCATGAGGTTCACTGGAATACACATCAATCGTCTTCAGCATCCGAAATCTTCGTCCATGTCACATAATCGATACCGTAGTTCAAGAAATCACAATATTAACATCGTCGGAGGCGTCTTTGAGGTCCTGAATTGTACTGAAAACGGCAATCAAGTACACCGATTTTGTGATGAGATTTTGGTTGAAAGAAAGATACTAGGTAGCCCTGCGGACAGCAATGTGAGTGGAAGAGGTGGTTCCTTTGATTCCCTCGAGATTGTTGCTTCATTGCGTACTTTCTTTCTTTGGTTCTCTGTTCAACACTTTCATCGGAGGGACCCAGAGATACAAAACCATGTATGCCGTTCGGTACTGGGTGGATAACCTTCTCAAGTCTTTCTAACAAACTTTATGATGTCTTGGTTGATTTAGGTCCTTGGGTAGGTATAAAAAGAGAGATTAAATGAAAAGATGACGAAAATGTAAAATATCTGCAGAGTGTTTAGTATTGTCTTTAGAAATCACTGATATCGCGAGTTAATGAATATCTTTTCTAGTACCTTTTCGTGATGGTGTTCATTGAATGTGATTGACGCCCAGGCTGATGATACAGTCAATATTGATGTTCCAATACCTACTAGGTACCGGCTTAAAGAATACCTCATGCTGATTGGACAAACTTGAAGGGAATCACATGTCTATACTCAGCCACAAAGCGGAGAAATGTGCCACAATTGCAAGTGGGGTGACGACACCTGGGCAGCTTCCAGAATCTGATTAAGCAAGAAACCATTTATCTATCTATCATCCCTGATTGACACCATTCCCAAGATCTTGAACACATTTCCATATTTCATATACGCACGCTACACCTGAACTTCTCCTTTTCGATAGCTATTTGACAAAGGTGTCTTCGGTACACCACAAAATGTCTACACCAACAAAAAAATCAGAGAGCCCTGTAAGCTAATTCATGATACATTCTTTGATTCCACAACTTTATGCGTTATTCCGACATAGATTATGAAATAATTAATCCCTAACTCACTTCCTTTTTTCAGAGTAGAAGCCCTCCTCCAGAATCTCCAACTACCGTAGCGCCATTCGACATGGACGACGATGATGCACCAGAAGGTACTACTGGCGGTGATGTACCAGCATCGAACAACAAGACCGCAGATGAGCTACCCCCGCAAAAGCCACCGCGCCCCTTAAGCCCACAACAACAAGCAGAGCATACTTTGAAAGAAGCTTTCCCAAGCATTGATGCAGCAGTAGTCAAGGCAGTTTTGATTGCTAGTGGAGGTCGTGTTGAGCCTGCTTTCAATGCTCTCCTAGGTGAGCGTGTATTCCTGTCGCATTATATTACATTCCTAATATTTTATATCCATAGGCATGTCAGATCCAGATGCAGCGATTGAAGTTCCCCCTCCGCAACCCCCTCGTCCCCAGGCGCAACGAGTCGGCTCTACTCCAAAATCACAACTTGAATCAGATGAACAATATGCACGTCAGCTTGCAGAACATTACGAAGGATCATCATCATCATATGGCCCACATGGAGCTCGAGGCGGTTCCAGGGGTGCATTTCCTCAAGGTCGCAAACAGACTGGTTTGAAACCAAATGAAATGTACGGTGAGGAGGAGGAACATAGCTTTTTCGATGACGATCTCCCAGTTATCAAAGAGAACCTTAGAAAGGGGTTCCTTGAGACACAGAGTACAGTCAATGGTTGGATTACCAATTTGAAGAAGAAGCTTGATGGAGATGACGCAGAAGAGAGACCTTCCACTCAGGGCTACAATTCCAATCAACACACACAGTATCGCTCCCGGAGAAGCGCGGAAGGCAGACAGAGTGGGGATTATAATCGATATGATGCCGATCCTCAGGTTCTCGGTGACGATTTCGCTGGAATTCAGCTCAATGAGGATGGCAGTAGACATGAAGGTAATGCTTCTCGCGCAAGTCAACCTTCAAATGCTTACCATCAACCTGCCCCTGCAGCCCGCCGATCTACACGCCCACTTGCAAACCCTGATCTTTTCAAACCTACCCCTAGTGCTCCAAAAGCTGAAGGTCGGAAGGTATCATTCCAAACTGCTACGGTGGAGGATGATCTGTATCGCACATCACCCAAACTTAGCGGAAAAGAAAATGCTCCATCAGCCAAACAGAGCAAATGGCAACCATTGAATGCAATGGAGCCCAGCCCTATCGGTGACGCTGATAACGACCATGATCCATTCAGCCTTGGAGATAGCGAGGACGAAAAGGAGTCTAAAGATCGAGTTGGTGGCAAAGAAGTTCGCATGGATGATGCGGAGAGGCTCAAGAAGGCAGCAGCTGAAGCGATGTCCGAAAATATTGTTGAGCCTGCAAAGAAACCTGAACCAGCCGAAACATCGGGTACGAAGGATAAATTGGCAGCGGAGCTGGCTAGCAAGCCTTGAGTGTTGAAGAATCGATTATCCTAATTTCGGAACTTTCTCAGAGGGAGGTTGGATAATCCTGTTCGTACTTTCCATGATATCCAAATTGATTTTATTGCAAACTTGAAATAGCATCTACCATGTCTCTCACCAAAGTCAATGTACGCGAGATTATGCCGCTCGAGTATTGCATTGAGGTCTAACTTCACAAGCTCTGCTACTTGTACTTTGGTGCTTAAGAGTATTTTACAACGGCCACTGTCACTTGGTCAAGGGATTTGACAACAATATCTAGACAGGCCAATTCAATAATAATTACAAATTTTGACACATGCTGTCTCTACACTATTACCTAAGAAGTGCCCACCTGCTATGTTGATTCGAGATTTGGTGATGACGATGGTCGACATATCCCAGTGACATTCTATTTAAAATAAATCATGACTTGTTAAACTTGTCTCATCATTCAATTCAACATTTGAGTGTCGACGTCCCCTCACCCCACCCCACCTTTCAACAACGGCTCAGCATTCTTGAGCCTTGCGTTTTAGCACGTGGGGTAATGATTTGCTAGGAATAGCTCACGAATGGCTGTGAAAGGTAGAGAGTACGAACGTTGCATGAAATGAAAACCTATCGATCGGTACCTGCCGATACTTTCCTGTAGCTTCCCCGTTCTCTGGAGTCTCAGAAGCAGGCGATGATAAGCAGCGACAACAAGTCAATCAGTGAATCAACTTGGTTAGAAAGTGCCAACCTTCTCTTCCCGATCAAAAAGCCCTTTCGTTATAAATTGATCCCGTACTACGAATAAATCATTGATAGTTGAGATAAAGTAACATGATCGACATCCAATTCCAAGATCATAGAAGTGTCAACACTAATAACCACCCAGGGACTCAGCTACTACGATCTACCAGGTGAAAAGAAAAAGCATCCTTAGACATTTACGAGTACTGTGGGTGTTGGTTACTATTGCCCCTCACTAGTCCTTTTCTGGCCAAACCCTTCTCCGTTCGAGAGCTCTAAAGGGAAATCCGAGAAAAAAACAAGTTGAACGTTAAATACTGGACATCTCCAACCTGCATCAATTTTCGATTCCATGTACGGACTACTTACTTAATCTCGCGGATTGTTTTCATGGTATTAACTTTGCAGACTCACACCACAACACTTGAAGACTTTCTTGTACGACTTACGTTGTTTCTTCACCACCCACTAGGATCTTTCCCCCTCCTCATCCAGCCAACTTCTACTTTCATATCAGGGTAGCAAGCAACACTACGGTACGGTGATTACCAGAGCCATCGTGCAGGTCCACGTGTATCACATACCGAAACATTTGGGTTTGATCATCTCCATATCTACTACCTTACAAACACCACGCATACTCAACGTCATTTCTTGTTGGCTTATGAATGTAGCATTTCGCATTAGATATAGTCATGATTTGCATGTGATCTGATCGACCTCCCGCCACCTGCAAGCCTTGATCTGGAAAGACCTTACTTCATCTACCAGTCAGTTCTGTTTTCGTTGCTTTAGGGCTTTAAGACTGCAAGCAGTCTATCATGTACGTCTCACCCCAGATTCAAGCCGTTTCACCCTCTTCTGAAGACATAACCACTGAACTTTCCCTGCATAGGAAGTTTGGGAAGCAAATCCAAAAGAGGCAGCTCGAAGTGCCTGAGTATGCAGCTAGTTTCGTCAATTATAAGGCCTTGAAGAAGGTTCGTCTCAATCAATTCTTAATGTGAAGCGCAACCAGTAATAAGCTTCGAGCTTCTGGCACTTGCGGTAGTTTGATGAAAGAGTTCTTACCATTGACTAACACCACAATAGCTCATCAAGAAGCTCTCTGCTACTCCCATAATTCTTGCGCAAAATGAGCTTCACCGTTCGGCCCCGGTCCTTGATTCCCAGGCCGCGCTGCAAGCAAATAAGGCTACTTTCTTCTTTCAACTGGTATGTTGACCTCCTTTCTGCAATTACAAGCTGTACTGAATATCCAACAGGAGCGAGAACTAGAGAAAGTCAATGCCTTTTACCTCCAGAAGGAAGCTGAGGTATGTCATTCATCGAAAATGGGTCAAAGAACCATTTGCTTATTGAGAACAGCTTAAAATTCGGCTGAAGACTTTACTGGACAAGAAGAAGGTTCTTCAATCCCGCAGTCAAAATGCTTCAAGAAGATCTGCCAAATTCACCACTTTGGAAGAAGGCTTCCAGCAGTTTGGCAATGATTTGAATAAGCTGCAACAATTCGTCGAGATCAATGGCATGGCATTTTCTAAGATCTTGAAAAAATGGGACAAAACTTCCAAATCAAAAACGAAGGAGCTCTATCTTTCAAGAGCTGTTGAAGTACAACCATTTTTCGATGCAACTGCTATCAGCGAATTATCTGATCAGGCCACTACAAGCTTACAAGAGCTTGGAGCTTGGTCCGAAGGCGATAATGTTAACTTTGTAAGAAGTCAAGAACATATTGTTAGCAGTCAACATTTATTAGGCACTGATGAAGGTGATGCGGATACCTTATTATTGGAAGCTGTCATTTCCGGAAATCTTGATTCTTTGAAAGATCTTCTTCAACGTATGAATTCCGCAGCAGGCCCCAACGGTACTAGGGATCTGGCACTGATGGAAAGAATTACTCGAACATTCCTCGCAGCGATTAATGAAGGCCCCCAGCAATCATTACAATTGCTTTTGGATACTGGCTTGGTTGATGTACAGTCTGAAGATGATATAAATGAGCGCAACTGCCTCCATCAAGCTACGATTTACGGAAACTGTTTTGTGTTGACCGTTGGACTTTCTAAGGGAGTGACTATTAGCCGAACTGACGTATACGGGCGGGTACCATTGCATTATGCGTGTATGCATGGTCGGCTTGATATGATGGAGGAGTTGCTGAATGGTATGTTAGTCCCTGAAATGCCTCATTTTCGAATGCTGATGACCTTACTACTACAGCGGATCATTCTACCATTGATCTAATAGATCACGACAATTTCACGCCTCTTATACATGCAATCATTCATGGCCATATTGAATGTGCTCAGAGGTTACTTGCACGGTCTGCCAGAATTGATCCGGTATCCGAGGCAGATCATGTGCCTTTAAACCTGGCTTGCGAAAATGGCTCCATCGCAATCGTCGAGCTTCTGCTTAAACACGGCGCCAAAATTCTTCCAGATGCTGAAGGTCTATATCCCCAGCATCTTGTTGCACGATCTGGTCAGACACCGCAATTACTTCTTTTATTGAAGAGCTATGGTGCCGATCTCAATCAAATCGACAAACTTTACTCATGGACGCCACTCTTTCACGCAGCCAGTGAAGGAAATGTACCCTGTATGCAAACTTTACTGGATGTCGGAGTCGAGACTCATGTTCGTGACGAAAAGGATCTTTCCGCCATGTATTATGCGGCATGGGAAGGATATCTCGAATGTATGAGGCTCTTATCCTTGATTCCGCAGCCACCTACCGGTGGGAAGGCCATCGCAGTCCCAATTATTGGATCCACAATGGGAAGCAGTGCCCCTATGCCAATGAGCATTGATGCTGATGGTATCCCTGACTTGGAATTGCCACCTCCTATTATTCCATTGCGACGATACGGCCATAATTTCCTCGACACGAAAACCTTCATACAGATCAGCTTTGCGGAAGAGAATGGAGAGCAACCGATGATCTTTTTCCATGGCAGCAAATATCCTGCAGCGCGTCTTACTATTTCCTCCAAACTTTCGGACTTGATACCCAAAAACATTTTACTCCCATTCCAGGAAGATACCCGACTTGTTTCATTTCAAATTGATAATTTAGATTCTTTCGCCATCGATTTCGATGTTTTCCCCACATACGGTGCTAAAGTCATTGCAAAGACAGTCGCATTACCGAGCACATTTCGAGCACTAGAAAGCAGTTCCGGCCGTTGTTGCTTGCCACTATTTGATCCACGTTTAAGGGCTATTGGACAAATTACTTTTAATTTCCAAGTAATCAAACCATTTCAAGGAAAGCCACTGGAAATCACCGATTTTGAAACGTACTGGAAAGCTACGAGCCAATTCGATTCCAGGCCAAGTGCTTTCATCACCGGATCTAGTTTATCTGGAGATTATATACAACTTTTCGTTCAACATACTTGTGATGGAGTCCCAGTTCTTTGGCCACGCTGGAACATCACCTATAATGACATCGAATTTCCAGTCTGCCGCCTGACCTATACGCAATTTTTAAGTGCAGGATCAGCCCAAAGAAAATCAACTAGGGATTTATCTGCTTTACCTGGAATGCCTTTAGCGAACATTACCGAAATCCATGATATACTTGCAGCATCGACTGTATCACTGGAAGATGCGCTTTCTCTACTCCCAAAAGGTATGCATGCTAACTTACAAATCCTATATCCAACCTTGGAAGAAGAGAAAGTCATGCAGCTTAGCCCGACGGTAAACATCAATGCTTTTGGTGATGCCATTCTCAGAGTGGTTTTTGACCACGCAAGAACTCTCCGAGAACAATCCCCAGATGCAATGAGATCGATTGTTTTTAGCTCATACAACCATACTATCTGCACAACTCTAAATTGGAAACAACCTAATTACCCGGTTTTCTTATGCAACGATCTGGGTCTCGAAGGGGAACCGGGTCAGCAACTAGGAGTAGAAATTAGTGGAAGGAGAACTACTTCTATCAAAGAATCGGTTAGAGTTGCAAAGAACAATAATTTCATGGGCTTGATCTGCTGTTCCAGACTTTTGGTATGTCTTGTCTCCTGGAGAAATCCGCCTCACCTACAAAATCCCATCTCGTGTTTCTTTGCTTTTATTCACGGGAAGAATCATTAATTAACACAAAATTAGGATATGATACCAGCATTGATAGAAGCCATAAAATCGCAAGGACTTGTTTTGGTGATTGATAAATCCGCAGAACCAGTCGATGAAAAGAGATTATTTAGTGATCCGTTCCCACGTTTACCGGATGGGGTTGATGGGGTCCTGAAAGCAAACGGCGTGTTGAGATTTAATGAAAGTATTGATATGTAGGTGGCTGGGTAACGTAGCTTATGATGGGGTCACTGGGGGTTATGAGCGGGAGTAAGTTAGCTTTGATGGGAAGAATTGAATTGCAAAAATCGAAAGAAGGAAAAAAAACTGGAATATTGAGTCATAGTACTTCGTGGCAGCACTCGATTTCGTATATGCTTGTGGATGGATATATAGAAGAATAGTTATGGCTACAAATTCTAGCTATATACGATGTTTGTGGATAATCATTCTCTCATTCTCTCATAATCCACAACCCTAACTGTATTTATTATCTTTCCCTCATTCATCTTCTCATCCGGACTTTTCATCTCGCCTAAAAATCCCCTGTTAACCCTCGATTCATCTAGACCCAATCTGTACAATCCCATTCACGCGCCCTTCCCTCCCAAACTTCCCTCACTATAACACTTCTAGCCGAGAATCCTTCGAGAAAGCCACCAGAATCCGTATACCAAGCAAATAACTCGCTGTTCGCTTCCAAAAACTAGGAGTTACCCGAACTTCTCCTTTCCTTCTCGCTAGCAGCAAGCAGCTCAGCTCTGCAAGTGAAAGGCAGTAGAGCGCTTTATTCGCAGCGTTCTTCTGATATGCAATGTTGCATGAAAAATGGGTACGTGTGTTGTTAGAGAGGTACGTTTGTAGCTTCATTATGCGCTTCCCTCTGATCCATTGAACTTTGGGCCCTGAGCTTGTAGTTTACATGTTCGTGAGCTCGCCATTTTGTAGAAGAAATGAGATGGTTAGAGATATTGGGTGGAATGAGTTGATGGATGATGGGAGGCATTCAATTCTTGATACTGAAATCGACAATCTTTGAAGGATTCGCTTGGTATTTTGAGGAGATTGTTATCGCTGTACAGCTTGACATCTCAACCGAAATTCTGGTAGGCAGGAGAGAACAACAGTATCAAAATTTGAAGAGAAAAAAGGATAGAACATTGAATATTGAGAACAAAATCGGAGATTTGCAACACTCTTCAAGCTCCCTTGTATCCATATCTCAAACTCCCCAGCTCTTCTTCAGGGTTTACACTCCCCATTACGGTTTTCGCTAGGAGTACCACGGCGTATATCCCCAGGGGTAACCATTCGAACCCAGTCCACCATATGTTGGTTTCTGCTTCGGAGATTCTGGATTTAGATTGGTGCTTAGACTTGATAATTGTCCCAAGAATCCCCAGTATAAGACTGAGGACGAGATTGAGGATCGGGAGGTAGGTTTGGAGTGGTCCATCGTCGACGCTATTTGCTCCCAGCACTCCTATCTTCGACCGAGGGGAATCTTTAGATGGCTGGTTGATGTTATCGAGGAAAGAAATCGAAGTTTTCTCGGGAGGCAAAGAGTAAATGAGGAAAGCGGTAGATAGGAGCGAGGTAATGGAGAGGATGCTGAGGAGAGAGGTAGTTGGAGTGAAGAGGGTAAGGAGGTAGGGGATAATGCTTATTAGAGGGAGACAGAGAAGAAATCGCGTGTAGATGGTATTGTATTTTGTATGAAGCGTCGCAAGATGTTGAATTAGGTTGTCTTGTTCTAGAAAGAGAGAGGGTTAATTTTAATATGTTAAGAGACGAATCGCGGGGTCAAGCATACCTTCTTCGTCAAGAGCTTCGGGTAACGAGTCATCGGAGTCGTTATCTGTCGGATATCGAAATGTCTTGCGTAGACGAGAAGTAGTTTGCTCCATTTTTGCAGTAAGTTTAAATGCAAATTTGTTGTAGAAGATCTTGATCGAATATCAAACAAACTGTCGAGATAAAAGATGAAGCTGGAGCTGGAGCCTTGCACATGCTTAGCTGTCAGCCTCGCATTTGCGCCACACTAAACTTTTTAGCGGGTCAGTTCGAATCGCACGATTAATTCAAAGCTCCCCTCCATTTGCGAGCAATTGTGAACAACGTCAATGCCATACACCATACACAAAATGTTACCACGATTACTACGAAGCTCGAGGGTTTTGCCTAGGTTGAGAGTAAGCAACATAAACAATGCGAGAAATCTTGTCCAAAGGAGAACGCTAGTTGCAGCGCCAAAAGTTGGAGATGGTCCATTGATGGAGAGGAGAGGGGATCGAGAATTACCTGGTACCTTTGCATGAACAGAGTAACGACTAAGAAGAATACTGACAGAAAATCTCAGACATTCCTGAAAATGGCATGAAATGGGTCAGATCTATCCCCATATTCCTCGCCGTCCTAATCTCCAGTACTCTCGCCATTTTCAACTACCAAAAGTCCTCGTCTTCCGTTGTATCATCCACTCTCTACGCCCTGCGCACATCACCCAAAGCGCGTGAGTTCCTCGGCGACGAGATTTATTTTGCGCATAAGATGCCGTGGATCTGGGGAGAAATGAATCAATTGCATGGCAGGATTGATATTCAGTTTGAGGTTAAGGGAACGAAGAGGAGTGGAACAATGAAGTTTACGAGTCATAGAGCCACAAGACAGGGCATGTTTGAGACGACTGAGTGGAGTTTGGAGGGCGGGGAGGGGGAGGAAAAGGTTAAGATTGATCTTTTGGATGGTGCGGATCCGTTCAAGGGAATTGAGGATGTGGAGGAGAGGTCAGCGGAACCAGGCAGAGGAAGTTATGCGCCCACTTTGTCAGGATAGAGGTTGGGCTGTGGTTTGAGTGAAATTGAGAGATGAAAGAGATTTGAGAGAGTATAGGGATCTCGTAAATTGAGGGGAAAGAACTTTGGTTGGCTCCAGTCACTTATGAAGATGGCTATTAGTCATGCACCGAGCGCATGTATAAGCAAATCTGGATGTGTCAAGACGATGAGGATAGACTTAACAGTTGCAGGGAAAAGGGTATTGGGTTGGCGTTATAGGTTCAGGTCTGAAACGCCTGTATATGCCATGTATTCATACAAATATTACAATGTAAAAACATTCAACTCATGCCGCAGTAGCAGCTGTTTTCGCTGGTTCCTTAACTTCTTCCAACAAAGCGGGTATCGATGCTACCTTTGGCCATGGCTTCTTGATGGCATCTTGAATCTTCACCACACATCCATCTGGGCCCGCAATACATCCATTCAAAAGGACCAAACCCTTCTCAGCATCCACCTTCAACACCTTAACGTTCTGAATCGTAACCTGATGGTTTCCCATTCGCCCCGCCATCCTCTTTCCTGGGTGAACTCTCGAACCACTTCCCTGACTTGCACCTGCACTACCCATCGTCCTGTGATTCTTAGAGTTACCGTGACTAGCCGGTTGACCACTCCATCCCCATTTTTTCATTCCTCCTGCAAATCCCATTCCCCTACTATTCGCCCTCGCATCCACAAACTGTCCCTCTATGAACCATTCTGCTCCAATGCTCCTTCCAACATCTAGTAATCCACTCTCATTCTTCACACGAAACTCGGCCATATGCCTCTTAGGCGCAACCTGACTCTTTTCATAATGTCCCAATTCGGGCCTCGTAACATTGCTAGGGTGTTTCCAGCCAGCACCAACTTGTACCGCATAATAGCCGTTCTTTTCTCGGGTTTTGTGAGCAACGACTTGCACGCGATCGAGTTGCACAACGGTGCAGGGTGTGCGAACGCCGGTTTCGGGGTCGTAGAGGGCGGTCATGCCTTTTTTGATACCAAGGGCACCCGTACGTAATGGGAGAGTAAAGTCTTTGCGGGCGAGAGCAGCGGTGGAGGAGGCGGAGAGGATGGGCAATCCAGCAGATTGCTGGTTAAAGCGTTCGGGGTGGGAGCGAGGAGGGGCGGTTGTCCAGCCATATTTTACACCACGTTTGGTTATGAGAGGGAGGAGAGATTCGGGGAGGAGAAAGGAGGGCGGAATTTGCGCCCAGCTGGTGGGGAGTTTGGGTGCCATGTTGTTTGGATTGGGGTGGGAGCTTATTTGGAGATTTGGTTATGGATGGGGAGGGGAGAAAATCTTTATACGGAGACCGAAACGAGTCGGGAGTGCGGTCAATATCAGAATTCAAACACCGATAACTTCAACCTTGACATTAATTACCTAGTCCCTAGTTTAATAGCACAACTTTATGGAAAGATTTACAATATAACAAAATGGTGTATTATTACACCTCTAACACTGTTTCGCCATCGGCTTACATCTATGCTGGAAAAGATAAATTCGAAAGTAAGAAATAAATTCCATTTAACTGAGAGTCCAAAACACATGTTGACGCAACCCACAGATGAAGATCTCATCAAGCATGGATTAGAAGAAGATGTATGGTTTCACGTAGACAAGTTGTCGAGTGCGCATATTTATCTTCGAATGAATGAGGGAGACTCGTGGGAGACTATTCCGGAGGAATTACTGATGGATTGTGCTCAACTGACCAAAGCAAATTCTATTGAAGGTAGGTGGTACTGAGAGTTTGAGTAGGGAGAAGGAGAGTGTTATGAGTACATGTGAGTTGATGGTTTTGGGTTAGGAAATAAGAAGGATAATATTACAATCATCTACACACCATGGTCCAATTTGAAGAAAGATGGAAGTATGGCGGTGGGACAAGTTAGTTTCAAGAATCAGAAGACTGTGAGTACTTCATTCGGTCCTTTTTAAAATTCATATCTCAATTTATGATGTGATGTTGAGATTGGCGGTGTTAGGTTAAAAGAATTTTGGTTCCCGCCAGGGAGAACCCAATTGTCAATCGGTTGAACAAGACCAAGGTTGAAAAGTTCCCAGATTTGGCAATGGAGAAGGAAGAAAAAATGAAGGCTGCGAGAAAGAAGGATCAAGCTGCTTTATTGGAACGGGTACGTAGTGTGCATTCTGACATTCAAACATGCTAATCTGGGGATAGAGAAAACAAGAAGCGAGACAGGCTCAGGAGTATAAGGATAAAAAGTGGCAAAAGGATCATGCCTATGATGATTTATTCGTTCAGGATGATGATGAAGAGGCGAATAATCAAGATAGAGGTGAAGATTTCTTAGATGATTTCATGTAACTTGCTGTATTGGGTATCATTGGGCTTCTGAAACGATATGATAAAAGAGATACCATGGATCTCCTAGAAATACAACTCATGAAAAATGATGTTCGCATCTTCAATTGTCAAAAGCACTTTTTGTGACCCCATTCTCTGACCTCTAATATCTGTGTCCGTGGAGTTTTTCTGGTCCCGTTGTCTTCAGCTACTCTTCTTCCACTTTCTGGTTTTACCACGTACCGAACCTTCTACCAAGACGCGCACTCTCACCCAGCCAGAACACTATCGTGACATCCTTCACTGACCAATATTGCTACCCATCTGATTCAAACTTGTGCCCTTGACCTTATGATCGTTTGGATTTGCCGCAGCCTCATATATAATATTCGTAGGCGCCTTCCCCAATTGCATCCAATCGCCCTTGAAGCCCATGTAACAAATACGACTTATGTCCTCTCCGTGATTATCCTCCACAAACAGCGTCAGATTTTGTATTTTTCCGAACAAGGCCCTCTTGACCCCTATGTCCTGTATCTCAGATGTTTGACTTAGTTCGAATTCCTGCGTGGGCCGTAGCTCTGACGCGGTGCTGAAATCAATATCGTCGCGATTGATAAACACTTTAAGGGTCTTAGGTGCGGATTCAGAGTTTGACGTGCGGATCAGAATCGAGTGGAGTTTCACTTGGCCGGTAAACCTATTGTATTGGGATGTATATGTTAGCTACGATCGTGATGGAAGGTGATTTGGAGGGGTAAAATGGCGGGGTAAACAAACGGGATATGTATCAACAGTTGTTCATCAGCATCGCTCTCGAGCTCTGGTTGCTCATTCATTCGTTCATCCCATGTTTTCTTCACAATGGATTTTCCAGAACCAGGAGTGGCTTCATTCAGTGTGGTTATGTCGTCAAATTTGATGTGTTGGTAGAGTGAGTATTGAAGTGCGGGGGTGATATCATCAGAATGATCGTGACCTTCGTGAGAATGCCCGCCGTGACCGTGGTCATGCTCATCATGACAGTGACTAGACATGTTTATTACGTTTTTTAATGTTTGCTGAACTTTGAAAAATTAAAAGGATTTTGTGTCGGGTTCTGAGTTGGGCCGCGAAAAAGTTATTTCCTCTATTTGCTCACTGGCGGCAAAATCATTAAAGGGAAATTCACCAATCACTGGGTCCAAGTTTCTTAAAAATATCTTGTTGACGGGTAGTGACATGTAGTCGTTGAGAAGTTTACTATGGCTCTTCAGGTACTAAAACTAAATTGAAACATCCGTACTTGAGAGCTATATACAGATACTTTAACATAAACTACTTTAATCATCACACAAGTAATACAAGATAGATCCTTTGAACTGTGTCCAAATCTCACATTGCAGAATCCAAGCATCCTTGTACTAAAATTCGAGCCTAGTAAAAGTCACCGAAATAGTCCAAAAGCATACTCCAACTTCTAATCTAAAAACCTGCTGCCCTACGCTTCTTAGACTTTTTCTTTCCAGGAGTAGCGAGTACAGTCATGCGGCTACCGAAAGCTCCCTTACTCGGTTGAGTCATTGGTAAGTCATTAACAGGCTGTGAGCTGTAAGTGTTGTAACCAGCTGGTTGACTGCCAAATGGTTGAGCCATAGCTTGAGATGAAGATGCGGCTGCATTCGCACGATCTCGACTCAAGAACCTTTCTGCTCTTCGTTTACGCCGAGCGTTTTCTCGTCGACTACGGTAATCGTCATCCCCACTCTCTTCCGCAAGTGCGGCTCTCTGGACCTCCTCCCAGGAGTATTTGGCTGGGTCTGCGCCTGGGACAGATGGCCATTGGGATAATAGTGAGGCTCTTGCCGCACCAAATTCTATCTTCGGCTCGATACTAACAGCATACTGGCGAAGTCGCGAAATTGTAGGATCCTGAACGACTGCAGGGGCAGATATCACTGAAGGAGTGGGCGTGGGCAAGCTGAATTGGGGGTTCTCCATTGCTCGGGAATGAACCTGGGAACTAAAATATGGAGGTGAACTGGCCCTTGAGACTTCGTCAATATCCTTCGATATAAGTATTGAGGTTTCATCCTCAAAGGTTGGTGGAGGTCTCGGTTCGAATTGTTCATTTCGTAGCGAAATACCAACAGAGCTCAGCCATATTTCCATAGCGATCCTGCGTATTGATCTCGCTTTTTCCAAACGAACTGGCCCAAGAGTCTTGCGAGGGAGGTTTGTTACCCAGACATTGATTAGTTGATCATAAATTTGCAGTAGATTAGGACATGCATCATCGGGTGTTTGATCTTCAGAGAAAGTCATTCCGGGACAAGATATCAATTTTGAGATGCGAAATTTGGAAGATGATTCCTCTTCGCCCTCATCAAAGGTATTCATGAAATCCAGAAACTCAGTCACAGTTTTGGCTGCCTCGTCGAGGTCACCTGAAGGAGATGCATTATTCGATAGCTCGAGACAAGTTTTCAATGGCATGCTATCCATTTGCTTGCCATTTTGCATTTGAATTGATATATCTCGGAATGCCGTTTCCATGTCAGTGTTCGAATCACTGGACATTGGCTTGTTGAATATTCGTTGAAACACCGGTTGCATGTTGATTCTAAGAAGCAGATCTGTGGAAGCTTTATTTATTTTTGATGAAACCTGGTCATTTTGTGTTGTTAGGGAGTTCATCTGATCCACTAAGGCATCTTCGTCTTCCTCGTCAGGAACAATGAAGTCATCTGTAAGACGGCTAGCTGTCATGCGGATAGCATTATCCGCAATTTTGTGCATCGGCGCAAATAAGATGGGCCTTGAAGTCCATTTCCTTTGAGAATCGAGAATCTCAGATGCCCACAGGGAAGATACCAGCTCAAGATTTGGCGTGAGCATCCACGTCTGGTGAAATTTCACTCCTGTTTCCATGAAGTCTAATCCCATTCCCTCAGCGAAGTCTCTGGGTATCAGATAAGAGGCAGAACGTATAGAGATACTCTCGGCCTTGAGGGTCTTTTCCTCGCTTATCCCAGGGGACAGCCTAAATCCTCCCTCAAAAGTCCTTGGGCTTTTCCCATCCATAAAAAAAGTGTAGGAATTCAAACGTGAGTTTTCGCTAGATGAAATAAATACTGTCAAGTCCGTTCCATTTTCGTCCTTAGACATTGTCAATTTCATTGTCTCGTCGGTTGGAGTTCTGTAGTGGCGATGCGAGAGAATAATCTTGATTCCAGAATCCTTCTTCAGGCCATCCTCGCCAGTCGGTATGACTTTTAGCCAGAAAACCCGAGTCGTAGTCAAAACAAACAAGTGTGAAAGATCAACCATACTACGCTTGATGTCCAGTATCCAATCTTTCAGCAGTAAAGTATTAAATGAATAAGAGGTTAGCCGTGTTGGCTTAGATTTCGTATCAAAAATTGCAAGATGTTTTCTATTTGCGACTATCATAGTGCTTACGCTACCTGCCCAGAGGACCCGGTGCCAGTCGCCAACGTTTCCAGGTAATTTGTATGTCGGAATAGCAGGATCTTCGCCAAAATCGTCGTAAATATGCCCCTTCTTCCCTGGCACGATTTCAAAAGCTGAGCGTTTCTTTTGTCGACCTTCAATGTCCCAACTACTCCATTGACCAGCGCGGTCTACAATTGCAAACTGTCGAGCGTACCACGGGTTAAAATTGACATCCACATGTTCCTCTGATCCAGACTGCTGGCACGTTAAAGTTGCGACAGGATTGGGATCTAGACAGGATGGAGGATATGTAGCAATGTGCCCAGTGGGGGCTATGAAAGGTTTGGGGGTATTTCGAAATACAGGTCTGAAAATTGTCGTCATGGCTGCCTGTCTAACAGCGAACCAGGTACTAAGCTCATTGCCATCGTCGACAGAGGCAATCTGTAAAATCGTCCCCCCAGCACCAAACCAATGTCCTTGGTCCGTATTGGTAGCACTCATGTAAGATAGTCGGACCCCATTTTGCGACTCCCATCCAAGTTTCTCTGGGCGAGGTTTGACTAGTTTCAGAATATGGCCGGCCTCACCACATGGAATCGCTAGTATGAATGCGATTTTGGAACCAGAGGTACGATTGATATCCGCAGCACCTCCAATTGCCATCAATGTACTCGTCTTGAATCGATTCAGTGTCGCATCAAAGGTATCTTTGGACAAGGTTGTAGCAAGACTTCCCCCAGGAAATGTTTCGGGCCGCTTCTTTGCGAGCCATCTCTGTTGAGTTCGAGCAATCTTCGAGCCTACTTTTCCGTTTCCTGGTATATCCCGAATCGAGGGAGGAATGCATTGTGTGGATGGAAGGAGTTGCTGAAATCGATGAACTGCGCAAACGAGTGAGTAAGTGTTCAATTGGAACAAAGTCCCAAACATACCTCTGCTAGCATCTTGCGAAAAGGACCATTGCTCTTCATTAATATCGTAGGAGAATTCACCAAAATGACCATGTACCAGGTCGGTTGCCCTGTGGTCAGTCATTTGGTTTTCGCGGACTTCTGTTTGCACAATAAACCCTTCCAATCATCGTATTTTCGCAAACTTATGGAGAAGCGATTTTGAGAATCAAGAGTGAGGTGTGAAATGAATGAAGGGGTTAGATTTCTGTCATAAAAGTGAAAAGCAAAAAAAGGCTGGTCAGGTAAAAATTAAATGATAAATTATTCATTTTTTTCGAGACCGCGATTATGTCGGATTGGCTCCACCGCAAAATAGTGCCGGACCTTAAAATATTTGGTTTCCTTGCCAACCCGCTTATCGGAAATCAACATTTCGTTCCCATTTCTGGTTTTACATTTTTGCATTCCTTATCACCACCACACCCATACCTGTGAAATCGTACCTTGACACTCGATCAAACCCACGAAGTTTATTAGTGATCGTTATATCACTTCGACTCCCAAATCACAGTTCATATACCACAGCATTTTAATTATCACGATACAATGTCGACAATGTTCGAGCCTTCGCTGTCGACCAGCATGTCTAGCAGTATGATGCGACCACCTTTGTCTTCAGCCGATGCGCCGTCAATGGCAGATACACTTCCAAGTATTAATTTTGGCTTCGATGAATTGCGCGACAGGATGGCAAAGTTTACAGTCAAATTCGATGCCTTTATAGAGCAAGGAAGAAAGCGCGTGTTGGAAGAAAGAAACCAATTCCGCATGAATGTAACTGAACTAATTGGTACGAAAGAGAGTCATTTGCCCAATGCGCTGCGCATTCAGCTAATATGTATTAGAGGATCAACGTATGAAGAAGAGAGACATTGAAGTCTTGTCGTCGAAGAGTAGTACACATCAACAAACCCTCGCGAAAGAGGCCGCCGAAACCGCCGAAATGCAAGCAGCGATCGCATCACTGAGCGCTCAACGTGATGCCCAACTTGCAACACGTGAAGCATTGAAAGCCCAGATCGCCGAAACACAAAAGGCTATAAATGGACGACTTGCTGCGCAGAAATCCCATGCTCAATATATCGATAAACAAGCTCGATTTAACGTTCCAGAACTCGACTTCTGGATTTCGAATTTGGGACTTATGATTGAGGGAGCGGGGCAAAATGATCGGTTGAAGTTTATTTTCACGAATTTTGACGAGAATGATTATGATAGAGAGGCCTGGTTTGAGCTTGATACTTCGAAGAGGGACTACGATATTCCGTATTGCAAGCCAAAATTGGAAAAAGAGCAGATTGAAAGGGTGGTGGATAAGTTGAACGAAACCCGTGATTTGCGTGTATTGTTGAAGGGTATGAGAGAACTGTTTGTCGAAGCTGTAAAAAATTGAGGACGGAGAGTGTAGAGTTCGGGGAGGTATTGCAAAAGGTTGATATCTGGGGTGATCTAATGATAATGACTTTTTGATTTTGAATATTATTACTTTGTACTGATTTCGACGTTGCTCGAATTACATTCTTTCAGATGAGACTACTCCAGCAGTATTTGCGCCGCTTGATTTTAGAAACTATATCCTCCTAACATCTTGCACTAGACTTCCTCATAATTTAAGCTTTTACCCATAAATAAAGATAAGAAGTCTGATGTCGACATAATTCTACGTAATACACAAACAATTACGGTTTCATCCAGCCAAATACCTTCACCACCATACCCAAACCCAATTTTTCTTATCTCCAAACCCCCCGCCCAAAAATAAACAACAGACGCGACACCACGAACACAATTATACAAACCCAAAATGGCAGACACATCCCAAAAGCCCGATAAAGCTACCAGTGCGGCACAGGCTCGTCAGGTTATCGATGTTTTTCATGAGATTTCCACGCTACTTGTAGGTTCTTCTTTGGCACTCGGCGTTTCTTGTTGTGGGAGGGGGGAGGAAAGGGAGAGTAGAGGAACAGGACTACAAGAAAGAGACGGGATGGGGAATAGAAGGGATGAGGAAGATTAAGGGAAAGAGAATGGAGAGAGGGAAATTATACTAACGCGTAATAGAATGCAGAGCTCGATCGCGGAACCTTGAGTATTTGTATAAGTCTTATTGAGAATGGGATTAATCCCGAGGCGCTTGCTGTGAGTCTTTCTCTTATTGGCGGATTCTAGAGCTTCTTTTTGTGGGAATTGGGGTCCGGAGGTAGAGGGGGAGTGTACAAGGAAATGGATGGGTGATGGATGGAAGGGACACCAGAAGCAATATTCTGAGCGAAATGGTTGAGAACGATACAGTAAAACAGTATCACAAACCACGAGAAGAGAAGCTAACAAATATTCACGAAAAAGACAGTAGTCAGAGAACTCAAAAAAGACGCAGACGAAGTACGAAGACAGATTGCCGAGGGGGGTGTTCGCAATGGTGAATGAATGTGCAGTTATCAGGAAGGGGTTTGGGGCAGGGAGCTTATGCTATGGAATTTTCAACATGCTCTTCTTCTGTGTGCGTTTGATGGAAGGCGTTTGCGAGGGTATACCGAGGCGTTACGGGAGATGCAATGCATGAATCTGGGAGTTTGGTATATGGGCGCGGAGGATTTGTACAGTGGTTTAGGTATGGCAGTACTTGATTTCTCGACCAAGATGGTTTGATAGCCAGACTTGCAGCCACGATCCTCAATGATGAAGGCTAGACGAAAAGACCGTGGAAACTTCAGTAGATAGTGGTGATGCGATGAAGGTGTTTGAGTGCATGGTGAGACTAAAGTAATCTCAGGAAGCTGCAAGTTATAGGAGGTGAAGTGTAATCTAGACATTAATGGCAAATGGGCATCAAGACAAGCTTTGAAAATCCTAGAAATGGCCCTTGTTACACCACAAGCAATAGGAACGAGGATCATCAAAGAGCTGATCAAGGTAAACGATTGAGGAATCAATAATTTCACTACTCCATATAACTACAAGGTATACATATATCAACCTTCTTCCCTGCCTACCCATGCCCAGAAGAATATCCAGTACGCCTTCCAACCCTCCCTCCAAAATCTTGTCATACAATGCTGTAGCGCTAAAATAAAGGCCCAAAAATGCAAGTTTTTTTCATTACCAATCCATGCAAGTGTCAACGGTGTCCAAAAATGGCAAAAGGTTCCTCTTCACCGTCGTCGTCTTCGTCATCATCATTTCCAGATTCCGAGTCACTGGAATCATCTTCATATTCAATATCATCATCATCTTGTGCATCTGCGTTTTGTGTCGCTGGTAACAACCTACCGCTTCGTGGTTCGTCTCTTCCCCAGAAATCTAAATCATCTTCATCTCCAGAGCCATCACTTTCGCCCCCAGCCGCTGATTCGTTATTGAACAAGTGTATTCCTCGAGCAGGCGATACTGATCTTCCTAGCCGGGACGGTACGGGACATGGAGAAAATCGACCGGATTCTGCTTGTGATGAAGAGGAGGGTATATGAGAAGAATGTCTGCGGTTCCTAGGAGCACCGGGTATCAAATGTGTAGATGAAGACATTTGTTGTTCCTGGCCTGTTGACATGTCGTTCTGTCCATCCCCTGCTCCTGTGACCGAAGTCTCGACATCGGGGTCACTCAAGATTGACAATTGAGCTGTATTATATGAATCACAAATGGCACATTTTAGTCCCAACCAGTGGTATTTCACCGCACTTTTAGCATAACAATCGTTGCACGAAACCATCGCCAAAGTATTTTGAAATTGAGGCGGCATGGGTTGGTTGTCAATGGCTCGATCGAGATTCCGAAATTGTGTTTCCATACCAACGACACTCTTGCTACATATCGGGCACTTGTACGAAGTTTGCATGTGCTCGATGTAACAAGCTGAGTGAATGCTGTGACCACATATCATGAACACAACGGGTTTTGGTGATGTGAACATGTACTCTCCACAAATAGGACAATCGCAATCAGATACCCTTTCAATGCATTTGTGGTCATCCATAAGTGACATAGACATGCATACGCCGCAGGTCTGATGATACTGTGAGCAGAATGTAAATTGATCGTTTGGCAAGGGTAGACTTTACCTTGCAATGAAAGAAATCTTTGCCCAGACCACGACCCTTTCTGCATATTCCACAATCATTGCAATGATAGATGCTTTTATTGGAGTCATTGTCCCACAACTTACACACCCCACAATAATACCAAGCAGTCCTCTCTCCACATTCAACACAAAATTCCCCGGCCCGCTGAGCACAACCACAGATCATACATAGCATATTTTTAGTATCATGGCGAATTAAGATATGGTCTTCGACCTCGTCATGACACAGCCGGCATGTATACCATCGATCGCACGTAGAGCACTGTAGCTTCACATTCCTCTTGTAATGCTTGCATCCGAGCTTGGGCGTAGAATCTTCCGTATTCTCAGATTCTTCGCTTCCATCGTCAACCTCAGGAGGATCAAGAGGTGCATAAGTCTTCATCAAGTCATCCGGAGACAGGCGGAAAGTATGAATTTCAGTTGCCGGTGCTTGGTCCAAAGTACCATTCATTTGCCAGATAAAAGAGCTCAATGAGTTTGGAGTCGCAGGTCTTTCCTGGCTGATCATTTTGTCCGCGGCCGTGGTTGGTACAAGATTCTTCGCATTAAATATTTCATGAGCTTCAGTGTAACTTTGAGTCAAAAGTTGATGCATCAATAATGCTTTTCGTTCTGTAGGAATGTCCATAGCTTGTATATATATGATGCGTTGTCGAAGAGGACCCATGCCATCATCCGCAGGAAGAGCAGTACTTCCTGTATCAAGTCCCATTGAAGCTGGAGTGGAATTTTGACTTGAGTCTTGAGATGAACCTTCGACAGAACTCATAGGGAAATTGACGGCGTTGAGAGCGGCACTGCTAGATGATCCTTCTGTGATGTTGCCCTGAGTCAGGGATGCTAGTCTGGAAGAAGCGTTATCAGTCATGTTGTTATCAACTGGACTTGTATTCGAATATGAATGAGAGGTTGCCAACGCATCAGTATCGTCATGGTTGGCATCATGTCGAAGGGTCTCAATATCGCCCGACGAACTTCCTTCATGGGTTGAAATTTGATTCGGAGAACTCCCAGTTATGCCACCGACGCCTACAAACTCTCTCGTATCCGGCAGATTCATAGTTGGCTCCATTGCCGTCGCATCTTCTATGACGGTCTCGTCAATCTCATTATTGCTGCTTCCTGGGACGAGATGCGTGTTTAATGTATCATTCGAGTCGTGGGCACGAACAGGATCGGATCGTGAAAACCGTCTGGCCTGTCTCAGAACTGGATTAATCAAAAACTCGGAAACAAGAGAGGTCATTTAGTGACATTCGCTGGTCGTATGAAACTATTTTGTAATTTTGTTTATAGCGAGTTCGGAAAGTCAAGAATAAGTCAATATTTAATGTCCAAATTTGGATAGAATCAGATTATCAGATTGTCTAGTCTAACTTTGGGGGCAAGGCCGATGACGCGCTACTCGGAACCATCCGAAACATGCCCCGTAAGATTCTCACATGCGATCGGAGTTTCAGATGTACCGGTATCAATTTATTTTATTGTGAATTGTGAATTGCGCCAAACAAAAGACAAAAGCCAAAAGCCAAACCGCCTGCGCAAAAAGATCATTCCAACGATTATGTCACCTACACAGAAGAATTATATATACGCCTATCGAGGTCTCTACCGAGCTCTGTTACATGCTGTACAATATGCGAAGCCAGCACGATACCTGGGAAGAAATATGCTGAGGGACGAGTTTCGCAAGGGAAATCCGAAAACTTTTGATCAAGGACGAATCGACAATACTATCAAATTTCTGAACCTTGCGGCGAAAGAAACTGGCCTTGAGCACAAATTGGTCAAGAATCTATTGAGGGTAAAGTACGAGCGTGGGATTCAATGGAAAGCGTAAATATTCCTTCAATGTATAGATACGGATATCGATCTTGCAATTCTGATCCTCTTGCAGGCAACTCAAGGAAAGACACCCCATGCAGATACATTTAAGGAAAAATAGCATGGCACATTACGACAAAACTATCGAAATGCTTAACGAAAGTATGGGACTGTGTTTACGTTAAGGGCATCACAAGTACCAGAGAGAAAAGCAATTTATCGACTTTATGACTCCACGCTTAACATCATCCTAAAGCAGTTTCTAGAACGAATCCCTTTGCGGAATACAGTACGTTTAGCCAAAGTCTAAATCTCAATGCCGCTCAGCAAGTAGAGGCTGGTGGATGGTTGCCATAATGGATACCTCAACACTCGATAACCAAGAGCTATAAATGATATTGGGAGTGTCGACAGTATAATCAGCGCATGGCTCAGTCGGTCGTATGGTAGACGACGGCCATACCATGACTGCCTGATGTCACCGATGGTTGGGGGATTGTACTTGGAGATCAAGTCCGCAAGCTATATTTAAGGAGTGTTGGCAAGGGCTTACTTACAGCCTCACAGACTTATCTTATAGCGATAGTGTAGGACGAATGATATTGATGAGATCATTTCAGATGACTATCATGAATAGCCTGGTGGTATCCGAGGTTAAGTACTCGATGCCGCCCTATTTCAGCCGATAGCTACCGAAGTGCTGTGTTTAACCATAACCATGACTCTAATAATATGATGAATACTTCCAATTGTTCATACCTACTCTTCTTAGAGTGGCTGGTGTATGTCCCCCTGTCGTCAACGTCTCTGCACGCCCATGAACGCCCAGGTGGTGGACTTTGTCTCTCGTGTGTCCTTCCCCTTATCGAAAGGTAATGGTATCACTGCGGGGCTTATCCAAATCCAATGATCCCAATCTAAACTGGCCTTGCTGCAATGCATCATTACATTCTTGTTCCCTTTTCCTTTGAATTACATGATACGTCAAGTCAAGTGGGGGTTGATTCTTTGTTCGAAAGCAAACGCCCATCGTGATAGATTTCCTCTTTGGATATAGTTACCTCCCTAGGTAGTATTGGAGAAGTAAGTACTCAAATACTTAAGTGGTAGGTGATTTTGTTCAAAAGCTCATCGTGCTCATGAAGAGGACTACCGGTACCTAGATACTCCGTATCGTACGTAGATTGTATGGTATTGTACGGACAAGCTGCACAAAGTGGAGACCGCTTTTAGCGAATTAGTTCCAAAAACATGAGATCTGGTGGTAAACTGACATTGACTTCTCCAATGAAGAAATGATTTGCGTCAAATCCAAACCAACTTCCAAGCCTACGTAACTGGAACGAAAGTCCTTGAGTATCGATTCCTAAGCCAAATCATTGTGACGCCTCTGGTTGGCTCTCATCCTCCTTTCGCACTACCCGTATCTCGATTCTCCATATATTATATATCTCTCAACCCCGCCTTCTCGCAATAATTCACTTTCCCCAGACTATCCATCTTCTTTCGGCTGCCACATTTTGCAGGTGAATTCTTCCGCTCGATTTTATAATCGACAGAAGACTCATGGACGATCATTGGCATTCGCCCTTATCGCGATCGCGTTGAGGACTCTGGTCGATTGACCACTGTCTTCCAGCGCTCGCTACGAACAATACCTTCCATTATGCCTGTTAAGCCTGGTCAACATGATATGATCAACCAACAACAACTGCTACTTCTTCATCAAGAAAGATCGAAGGCACAGAAGAAATGGCTGAAACAATATCGAACAGAAGTTGCTGCGTCTGTCAGCAGCATCTGTTCTACCTTCTGCGCAGTAAGTCTCTCCGTGCCATGTGTTCAATGCAACCGCTAATTGCTTGTAGTTTCCATTGGACTCAGTAAAAACGCGAATGCAGACATACAAATATAACAACTTTACGGATTGTGTCCGACGGACATATCAAACGGAAAAACTACGAGGATTCTTTCGTGGTGTTGCGGCACCTTTAGCTTCAGTAACTCTGGTCCGAACAATATCTTTCTCGGTCTATCAGCGTTCAAAGTACACATACGCAGCTTGGTTCAAGAGAAATTTTGACTTTGATCCATTGGTGCACATCAATACATTTGGAACATATCCTACCTTTTCAACTATTGCCTGTTTCGGAGCTGCTGGCGCCACAGCTGGATCGTTTATAACGCTTGTAGCTTGTGGGTGGATCGATTAAGTTGATTACTGTTTTTTTACATTTCTAACAATATTTAGGTCCCTTCGAGTTGACGAAGCTTAGTGCTCAAGTATCAGTGTTGATGGCTACTAAACGGCAAACGAGCCTTTCTGATCCTGTGAGAAATTCTGCTATACAGAATGCGACTGCAGCAAGCTATAAAGACAAGGGAACATTTAAAACCGCTATGAACATTGTGAAGAATCGTGGGGTGTCAGGCCTTTATTCTGGATTTAACCTTCACCTTCGTGAGACAATTCTCCAATCCAAGATTGCTGGCACAGACTAATCTCGTCGTATACAGTTCGGGATACACTAGGAACTGCTATTTACTTTATGACTTACGAAAGTTGTAAGCAACTCTTGACAACTTATACAGGGTCGAAAGGCTCAACGAGTCCCTTTGCTGTCGTTGTCGCTGGCGGGTTCTGCGGCGTCGCGAGCTGGGCATTGATCGTGCGTGAAAGAAACATATCCGTGTGAAGTCAGCCAAGCAACTAACGATGAATAGTACCCAATCGACTCTGCTAAAAGCATTTATCAGCGAAATTGCCTGACTTGCTGCAAAGGCGAGACCGTTCAAAAGGCACCAAAAATTAGATTTTTCGACAAGAAAATGTACCGAGGCTTGGGTGTGTCCATGGGCAGATCGTGCGTTGTAAATTCAATTTTTTTCTCAGTATTTGAATGTAAGTAAATTCAATCGACTCAATACCTACATGACTAACAAGGTATAGTCATCAAGAAAAATGTAAATGCAATTCCAGATTGATGGAGTATCTGGAGATGGAGGTATAGTCTTTTGTAAATATCCTCTTTTTGTATGGCAATTTGGCGATGCACAAGCATTAAGGAAATGGAGTTTTCAGGGAGCATAAAGGCTAAGGTCAAGTCTGCATGGAATAAGGAGAATTATCTGAAGTTCAAGTTTGATATGAAGGCACTCGAAACGAGCAAGGTTTGCTAAATAAATGGATGGCAATAGTAGGAGATTGAATGAAGGTTATGCATTCGCTGAGTCTTAGATTGGTAGTTAATAATGAATATAAGGAATTTGACTTGAAACTGTAGATGTACGTAGTTAAATGGAAAGAAGTGTAAATTCAAACCACTCACAGCTGCAGTTAATCTCTTTGGGTGGGGTCGACCTTTGTGTAAGGAGTCATCTGAATTCTCTATCATTTAAATCGATTTCTCCGTCCTTCTTTCCCCTATTTCGCTTTCGCTTGTCGGATGCATGTGCTGTATGTATAGTAACGGGCATTGTGGGAGGGGTCAGAAGATGGACTGGTGAGCCTGGTGAGCCTGTTGATGTCCATTTACGCATTTGTACCTCCGTGGTGTGCACAAAGACACTCAGTATTGGTAAGAGATAGAAGGGACTCGATGGAGAGAGTTCCAGGTGCTCGATGGTTTCGATGGAATTTTTATCTTGTGTGTTATCCAATGCGTTTGTGGTATTTCCATTAAGTTGTCCCTTGGGATCATGGTCTACCTTTTGTGAAGCGGTCGGATGGCTTTTCATGCTTTTCTAGGGCGATGTATAGATACTTTAAGAGAGAGAGATACGGGGGTTCTGGTTAGATATGAAGTGGGAGCTCAAATCAATAATTACTGTCTCCCCGCTGCCGATACATTCTTGACATTCTGCGGCTGTTTTGTGGTTTTGTGGTTTTGTGGGCTGAATGTCTTGTTATTTGGTAGGTCCAGATGTTGAGTGTTGGAAGGGATTACAGATAGTGGTTTAGGGTTATAGGAGAATCGGGTGAGTTTCACGATAATGGTATGGATGTACATTTGAAAGGCGGCCGCGAATCCGGACTGCTTTGTGCATTTCTTCTATTTCATGGATTGTGGATAGTGCAGAAGATAGATTGTTGCTGAATGGGAAGTGTGTATATATTGGTGAGAACTGGGGAGGGGGGGGGGGGAGGGGGGGGGGGAGAATGGGATGGATATACTGAAGATATGCTGTTGAGTATGTGGAGTTTAAAACTACGCCACAGTAGCAAGAGTTTACGCCGCATATTTCCATGGCAGGAACTGTATATGTCCAGATACCAGAAGGAAGTCCGTCCAATGCTGCATCATCTTGGCCCATAGAAGGGCTATGAAATTGCGGACGAGGTATTTTCCGTTACGAAAATGGAACCCATGGCGATTTTGCCCGTCTTGCGGGGTTTCTAGCGAGCGATTGTATCTATAATAGACATTGCAAGTGAGTCTCAAGAAGGAATTTCCAATTTTCAAAGTCTTCTATCAAGAATTCTCTTATACGACAGTGCCCTATCCTACGAAGTTGCCTTCATATTCTACAGCGAGAGTGGGTATCTGTTCGCGGTTGATTGTTCATGAAACATGATTGTTGAAAATTGAAGAACATTGGGTCAAAAAATCATGCCTTAATTTCTCTGGAACTAGTTGTGTTTGTCCCTTCGCATGCATCAAAAACCTATGATGGGAACACGTAGCATTCAATGACGGATTAAAGCAATTCAATTTAGATCTGCCTTTCCCTCAAGGCACGATTTGTACCGCTCACCTGAATCAATGACAGAAGATCCAGTTGAAATAGTAAACTTTGTGGTTGAAGCTTTCTTTCAATTCGTCAGGGATACTCATCAAGCTACTAGACAGTTAATGATTAAGATATCTCTACATAAGTATTTCTTGCCATGTTCCTATTGTACCCTGGTGCGTTCATTTTGATATGGATCTTTCAAATATAATGGAGAAACTCCGCGTGTGAAATGGTGATCTTGAGATCTTACAGGAAGGGTTTATTACTGAGCACGAGTTCCATGAAGCAAAGCTTGGAATGAGAGATTGTGGCAGAGAAAGATGTTGAAACCAAAGTAATAATAAAGAATTCTTTCGCCGAATGTGATCTGACGCAATTTGATCTGGAGAGAGACTCCACCACAGGCTTACCGTTAGTTACAGACTCCTTCCTTCTGAGCCGTTGAGCCTCGCCAAATGTTGTTTGAACAAAGCTTATCACAAGCACATAGCTTTGCCTTTCGGAGCGGCTGATGCTCCAGTTGCAGCCACTGACTCTATTTCGCTGCTGCCTGGTGCAGTAACAAGAGCAGATGGCTGTTGTCCTACTTGCATTGTACTAGAACAATTCTCTCTTCCAAAACATAAACGATATTTTACACAAATAGAACATCACCCCGCAAATCGGCACACCCATTGTTGTCTGGATTCTAACAATGTTCTGAGAGATAATGCATAGCAAGCCTCGAATCCACACTCGTGAAGAGGCTGAATTTAGAATACATGAGTACTGTTTTGGGCACTTCCCATAAGTACCTATGCTTTGGTCAGCATATCTGTGACCTTACACATGCAAGTTACATACGAACTCTTGTAGTTTCTTCCATGTTGAGTAAGAGCTTCAGCGAGAATTTTATATTACGACGTGATTTGAAGTAACTCAAATATGACCGGTCTTCACTTTTAGTAATAAGTATTCAAGGAGAAGAACATTCATTACCGCCGAATGCTGACTGAAATGCTGTGTTGGTCTATTATATTAACATTTCAAGTAAATACTCTGCCATGATAATATCAAGACAATTCCATCAATATATTCACTTATAGACTCATACAAATATACGGTCTCAACGTGATCCATACATACAGCAGAAGTAAAATAATCGATGTAATTGTCGTGTCAAATCAACCTCAATTGCCCCGCGGCAAAATTCTGCGGGACCTGCCATTCGCTTCACACGCGCGCTAAGATTGCGATTACCTACTGTACGCTGCCCACCCCGAGGACCGTTTGCTCTTTCTCCAAAGTTTGCGACACATAAGACTTTCATTCTTCCATCTCAATCATTTTCATTGAAAACAACACGCAAACAACCTTTCCCATTTTCTAACACCAGAACACTGGATATATTGTTAGGACGTATCGTGATTCTCTATTTTCTTATCAGCCTAGCATAAGCTGCTGATTTCACTTTGAGAGAGTTGTTATCGTGCCTGTTTATCAGCGCTTTTGCGCACTAATCTCTTTCTTTCAATAGGTCATAAGATTCTTATGGTAAGTCGAGGATAGTACTCGATATGGTGGGTAAAAGAAGAAAAGCCCTCCTGGCAAAAGGAGTCCTCAAGAATCCGAAAGCGGAAGCTGCCCGAGAAGCTTCAAAGGCCAAAAAGGCTCAAAAGAGTCTATCGGCTCGAGCTGGTAAGGAAGACCGCCGTGCTAAAAAACTGGAACGTCGGAAGAAAGAGAAGAAATCATATACTGCACAAGATTGGGCAGAGCCTGCCCCAGATCATTTGATTGCCAAGTTAGATCTTCCCAAGCATAGTTCTAAGTATCAATCGTATTTCGAATTTGCGGAGAATACAGAAAAGAAGAAGAAGTTGGAGTTTCAGGTATTTAGTTTTGCAATGTTTTTTTACCATGTTGACTTACGATCAGGTCACAAATGATCCCCATCCTCCACCAGGATTCACCTATGTCCCTATTGGAGATCCGACTTTGACGAATGCTTGCAAAGAATTATCGCGAGAACAAAATGCTATGATCTTTATTGTTTCGGTAAGATTGACCGACAGGCCTGTTTGTGTTGAACGCAAGGCTACACCTACTGACTCCATATCTTTTACAGCGCTCGAAAGAAGACAACTCGAAAATTTCCGAGCATGTATTTCGAACTGGATATCATTTCCGAGAAGTCATCGTGGACGAAGCGCGCAAAGCTGTCGGCGACACCGTTATTTCGAACACGACCCATGGATTGATTGAGCCAATACCAGAATCCCAAGACGAGATAAACAAACAAGCGGACGCTGCAATACGCGATCTTTTTCCAAGAATCCCTAATACTGATCGACAGAGGATTATAGAGCATGCTTTCCAGAAAGGTGTCAAATTTCATGGAGAACCTACGGTAGGCCTACAAGCCGACCTTCCCTTGGCACGTCGAGTTCAGCTCGCTGTTCTTGCTCACATCCGTCATACACACACTAGATATGACAAGCTACTCAAGGAAACCAGTTGGATAAATGCACGAAAGGTAGTTGAGCCTGTGTGTTTAGATGTCCTTGTCAAATGGCGAGGAGACGAGGAAACTGGGCGTGATCAAATGGATGAGATCTTACGAGAAGTTGTCATTATTACTGATTCCGACGATGAAGATGACGAATCTGATGAAGACGATGATTCAGATGAATCCTCGGAAGAGGGAGAGACATCCATCGGCTCTGCTGCTCTGGCCCTTCAAGATGGTCCACAGAGGCGGCAACCTTTGATGGCTGAGCAAGATTCCTACGCGAATGTTGCTGGCCCCTCGGACTCTATTTCTTCTCATACACGATCTAGAGCAAGGCAAAATGAAGGACTCAGAAAACCCCAGCCTCGCTTCAAGCGATACCAAGCTGCATGGGATGAGGCTGTCAATCGAGGTCAAAATAACGTTCTTGAATCTAACGGGCGAAGTATACAAGGATATGAGGCAAGTATGAGACCCACCCAACCTAATGATGCACCAAAATACCAAGAGATGCCTCGAAGACAAGCACCTATCGCTGCATCACGTCCTCATACGGAGTTGGAGTATATCTATCGTGACACAGAACCTCGGCATAGTGTTCCGCCTGAACAACAAGTAGGTCCAGTTTGGAGGAGAGAGGTAGAAGAAAGCTTCATGACTAATATTTACAGATTCACCATTACTACCAACAGGAGCGGGCACCTTCAAGGACGTTGCTTCGCAGGAATGAGGTAACAGTTAGACCCCTGCATGACCGCCCAGCTTTTCAACCTCCACAGTTTGATACTGCCCCACAAGTGAGCAGAGTGCCAAGATCCCAAGGAGTTGTCAGAGCTTCCCCAAATAGGTCTGGATTCCAAGACTTGCTTGCTTTATCCATTGAAACCCAAAATGATAGTATAAATGTTTCACCTCGTTTGGATCGAGGTACTGTTCGCGACTTGGGTCACCATCAAGAGTCGTATCCAAGACACGTGGTTGAAGGGAGTAGATTGACACCTAGGCCCCGAGAAGTCATTCTCATTGATGATGATGATGACAATGATGATAGCCCATACTCTAAGCGCCGTCGTGTGATTGAAGATGATCATGGGCGATTCAGGCCTTATCCTTCCAGGGTGCAGAATGTCCAAATCGCCCCAAATTTCTCTTACGGGGATGCAGACAGGCGTTCCGTTGCATTACCCAGATACACTGAAGGTTTGTCACAACACTTGCCATTAGCATCTTCACGACCTATACTTTCAGAACGAGTGCCTATTTATGATGCGCCTGATTCCAGACCATATGAGATGCATTCAAGTCTATCCAGGCGAGAAGATGAGAGGCTCTCTTACCAGCAACCTGTATCTTACTCGAGACGAGAGATTGCTGCGCGACGTCCTTATTTGACCAATTCTGATGAGACTTACAATCCTCAGCGAGTGGCTAATGATAGTATGAGAGTCGCTAATCGTGATCAATTTGTACGACGAGAACAAGTTGAACCTGGTCAGAGGTATTATCTTCAAAGACCAGCGTCACCTGATATGCATGACCCCAGAAGAATTTCTCATCCTCAAATTGTGGATGGTCCTGCAGACCAAGCTTTCATTCAGCGTTTCTCTCAATCTGGACTTGAATCCCCCCTTTCTCGGCCACAAGATGGTCCTGTTTCTTATCAGAGATTTGCTCCGAACATTCATCGTCAAGGCGAGTCGCTAGATCAAGCAGCTAGGTCATTCACAGTCATGCGTCCTGTTCAATCAAGATCTCCCGTACGATATTTAGATAGGGTAGAGTGAGTGGGCTCGAGTAACCAAGAGTGACGTAGGAGTTGCTAACTTTCTTTACCTTAGAAGATCTGGTGATAGATCTGGTCCACCAGTATACTACGAGAGACGTGATCCGTATACTATTGAGCGACATATCTCGAATACCATGCGTGTTTCGGTGCCGCCAGACCCTCATTACCAGACAAATCCTCGGGTTATGCACCCTGGGCGTCAAGTAATTGTGTTGGATTAGTTTTGGGGTAATTTTCGGGAGATGAGGTGCCTTGAAGGAGGGACAGTCGAGCTTTTGAGGCTCCTGTTTGAGGCTCCTGCAGCTTTTTTCCGTAATAAGGATTCACATGTGTCTTGCATTGGGAGTAACTGGCGCACGATTCATTTATTCATCGGTGAATGATAGGGTTTGTATCTGGATGGAAGGTGTACATGGTGCCATTGTTTTGCGCCCCTGGCTGCGTGGATCTACTTGCATGAGCGTGGAGCATGGAAATCGCATTAAGGGACAAAGATTATTTGCATTAAAACGGCGTCACAGAGTGTCATATGGAAAGTCTGTTTTCGAACTTGGTGGCAACGCCGAGTTGTTTCAGGAAAGCCTGTTTTAATCGGTATCAGTACTTATGTCCTAAGGGATGAGTACAATCTATAATATATATACACACACAACCGCAATTGTATGACTTTCTTCCCAGTCAGTCCCCAGTAATTACTGAATTCATATATGCATCTGATGATTTTAAAGAGTGTGAAAGTATGATTCGGGTATCCAACCAATGCCCACATAACTCCTTTAAATGCCCAACAATAAAGTATAACTCCTATGCCAACATTGCAACCTGTTGTTCCTCTCGCTCACGTTGCCTTGCTTTTGCCCTGTCTTTACTCGAAAGTTCTGATCTCGGCACATCAAGCAAGGAATCTTTCAATGGTAATCCCGCTGTAGGAACCTCGGGTAGCGGAACACCTGTAACTTCTGCTTCCAAAGCAGCCAATTCATCCTCTACCTCATCTTCATCCTGGTTTGACATCATCCCTCCCAGCATATCGCTCACCTCCTAGAGTTTAAGTCAGTAAGATAGCCACTCATAACACGAAATAGTGCTTGCCTGTTGATAAGCAATTGCGTCCGCCGTCTCTCCCATCAACTTTTCCACATGATCTAACCCTCCCATCTCCTTATGTATCTGGTTCAGCACGTTTGTACCTTGTTGTAAACCGTATACAACATCTTTTTGTACCAGCGCAAACTCCACACTACTAGTCAATTTCTCCAGTTGCTCGAGTTGCGCATCCGTCTTTGCGAGCAAAGATTCTTGATATTTTTTACGTCGCAGTGCTAGGAGAGCTCGTTTTTTATCTCCTTTTGCCAACATTTCTTTTGCGATAGCGGTTTCGCGGTCGGTGAGTACGGTTATACGTCGTTGATATTGGTGAAGCTTGTCCCGCTGGTTCTTCATGTCCAGGATAGCTCTGGAGTCAATGAGTCAGTGAATGCAGGCTTGGAGAGTGACTGAAAAGCTCCTCACTTATCCTGAGCGGATATCTTATGAGTGCTGGGTGTATTCCCCATCGTTAGTTTGTTGAAACTACTTGCTCAGTGTTAGAGGGATGCATTCCGTAGTGTTCTGCTCCAGAACTTGAATGCTTGGAAACGGCGTCATGGCGGTCGGCGCTGATAAGCGATAAGCATTATTCCGCGCGGGACTTACCGTTTTTGGGAGAGGTCAACATTTTTTTTTATTTTCAAACATTCATGCCACTTGGGAATTCGAATAACTTTGGGTGCACGTTACTCGAGGTTGTTTGGAAGGTTCACTATGATTCCTAGAGGCGGAAGGCCAAGTTTGAGTCAAGGACTGGACAAGGAGGTATGGATTGCTCACGGCGCAAACATGAACTCGAATTGCAGCTTGTTTACTAAAAGTTTATGCAGATATATCAAATTGTAAGGAAATTGGCAGATGAACAGGCACAGAGCCAGAAAGGACCAAAGCGTCTCACAATCTCTATTGTCTATGATAGTATCAAAAATTCGAATTCAAGTCTAAAAAGAAGATCAAAAAAATTGCTGGAAGATTCAATTGATAGAGTGCTGTTGGTGTTGAAGGAAGAACAAGATGATAGTGATTCCGTAGACGGGGATTTTGAAGGATTGGAGGAGGCGGCACCACCGCTAAAAGTATATAAGTCGCAAGCTGTTGAAGTGATATACTGACTTGTCTTTCAGGAACACAACATAATGAATAAAAGTATCACCAAAGGTTGGGGAAAACCAGCAACATTACCTACAATGAACTCTCTGAACGGTACGCCTTCTGCGAGTGGAGCTACTACTCCTATGGCTCAACTTCAGACCAACCCTCTCGGCAATGGGGAAGTTGAATCACCAATGAAATCAGATCGACAAGCAAACGGGGAACCAAAATCGAAACGTCGGAAAGCAGAACGAGAAGTTAAAAAAGATGTGGATAGGGCACCGCCGACGGACATCTCGTTGGAGAATCTTGGAGGAGTGGATAATGTTATTGAGGAATTGAACGAGCTTGTAGCGATGCCAATGCTATATCCAGAAACATATATCAGGACGGGAATTCAACCGCCTCGAGGAGTTCTTCTCCATGGGCCACCCGGTTGTGGTAAAACGATGATCGCAAACGCCTTTGCTGCAGAAATAGGAGTATCATTCATACCAATATCTGCGCCATCTTTAGTGGCTGGAATGTCTGGAGAATCAGAAAAGAAAATTAGGGATGTTTTCGACGAGGCAAAACGTATGGCACCATGTCTTGTTTTCATCGATGAGATTGATGTCATCATGGGAAAACGTGAAAGTGCTCAGAGGGAGATGGAAAAAAGAATTGTTGCCCAAATGCTCACATCCATGGATGACATGGCTTTGGAGAAAACTGGTGGTAAACCTGTCATTATAATTGCTGCCACGAATCGACCTGACAGTCTTGACCCGGCTCTTCGAAGAGCGGGCCGTTTCAACAAGGAAATTAATTTGGGGGTTCCAAATGAAGCTGCTCGAGAGAAGATTCTTCGTGCTCTTACCCAGAAGCTCGTCTTGACTGATGACTTCAACTTTCATGCTTTGGCAAAGATGACTCCTGGATTTGTGGGTGCTGATTTGAATGACGTTGTGTCTGTTGCAGGTACAGAAGCGATGAAGCGTATGATGGAAGCTTTGAAACAACGAACTGCCTCTACCATGGAGCTTGATACTCCATTACGAAGTGCCACATCCATGGAGCTTGACACTCCGATATTGAAGGATAGCACTTCCGAAGCTCTTCTCGTTCTGAGGTCTCTCGTCGCAAATGCTGGAGGCTCAGCTCCCGACGGTGATTTTTCTATCAAATATACCGATTTTCTTGCAGCTATACCCAAAGTTCAGCCATCGGCTAAACGAGAGGGGTTTGCAACAATTCCAGATACAACATGGGCTCATGTCGGTGCTTTGCACGAGGTACGAGAGCAACTCGAAATGGCCATTGTCGAACCAATCAAACGACCAGAATCTTTTGCTCGAGTTGGTATCACAGCTCCAACAGGAGTATTACTTTGGGGACCACCTGGATGTGGTAAAACCCTTCTTGCTAAGGCTGTGGCCAACGAATCTAAGGCCAATTTTATTTCCATCAAAGGTCCTGAACTTCTCAATAAATATGTTGGAGAATCTGAGAGGGCTGTTAGACAAGTTTTTGAGCGCGCTAGATCATCCGTACCATGCATTCTCTTCTTTGATGAATTGGACGCATTGGTTCCCAAACGTGAAGACTCTTTATCAGAAGCTAGTAGCAAAGTCGTCAATACCCTCCTCACTGAGCTTGATGGTCTAAGCAATAGAGCTGGAATTTACGTTGTAGGCGCCACCAATCGACCTGACATGATTGATCCCGCTATGCTTCGTCCAGGTCGTCTCGGAACATCAGTTTTCGTCGATCTTCCAACTCCTGACGAACGTGTGGAAATCCTTAAGGCTCTCTATAGAAAAGCATTGCCACTTGCCAGCGCACAAGAAATTGAGGCACTAGGCCCAGTAGCGAGAGATGAGAGGTGCAATGGCTACAGTGGAGCGGATTTGGGTAACTTACATCAAGCTGCTGCGGTGGCAGCGTTGAAGAGGGAGATGAACATGGTAGCACAGGGACAGGCGACCATGGAGGATGAGTTGAAGATTGGAGGGGCGGATTGGGAGGTTGCGTTGGGTAAGATCAAGGCGAGTGTTAAGGATGCGGGGAAATACAGGAGGTTGAGGGATAGGGGAATGTAGAGCATAGATGCCCCATTCAATATTCAAGTTAAGAATCACAAATCGTGTATTTTATTGTTCTTAGGCCATTGGATATGTTTTTGCATATAATAACAGTGTGAATTACATTACTTTGTAGCACTTTTTCACTTCTCTTTTTAATTCTAGTTTCATTCACGGAATTTGAAATTATCATCTCTTCGTGGCGAATCCAACATCAGATATGCGCGTGTGCTCCCGGTGAGCTCGCATCGTTTCAACAGCTCTCGCATGTGGCCTGTGCCAGCGCCTACCTTATCACGTCGCATCAACTGAGTTTCTAGAAACACTACAACATTGAAATCATTCTCATCATTTTGCAACACGCTCCATTTTAGCCCAATATCTAACGCTTGTGTTGTCTACTACTAATTCTAATTACATAATTTTCAACCCTCTCATTCAACTGTTGTAAGTTCCATTGCTTCTTTCATATGCATGGAAATTCTACTCTTTGGCCTTACTCCACCACGAAACGAGCCCCTCTAGTCCCGAGTACCAAATTCCCGCCTCCCTGATCTCCTACGCTCTATTGTTCAAGGACTGTCTGACCTTCCAACTGAAAGTTGCGCTAGATTGTCAATCACTACTATCAAAATCCCTCACGAATAGGATCCTTATCAAATATGTCCACGCCCATCATAACCACTACCACTACTACCACTACTACTACCATGACCAGTCCTCCATCTCTCCCCGCAAACTTCACTTTCGCCCCCTCGACTTTGTATATTCTACTTGCGGATATAGGCCATGAATCGCTCTGTAAGTTCTATTCATTACCTGTGGTTTCGTATCTTGTCGTTCAAGTCGTTTTGGTAAACGAGCATTGTTTAAGAAACTTTGATTATAATTCCCAGTTTGTTTGTTATATATATTGAATTGATGCACTCATTTTATTAATCACCAAAAATCAAAAATTGGCAAGTTTATCAATTGGT